CACATACAATCACTATTTATTGTATTAGATTAAAATATTTGCTTTTATTCTGATAATAATGCGGACCACCAAGTTCATTTTGAAATTCAGGTTTCTCATGTACCTAAAACTTTTGCACAGCTCTGTAAATAATTCAGTTCAAAAAGCTGAAATATTGCAGTGTTGTTCAGAATTTTGACAAGGTTTATTGGAAAACACTAAAAAAAAAAATCTATTTTGAGAGTGTGTCTAATTCCGCTGAAGTTTTCTAAAGCCTCTCTGTTAATACCAACAGCACTGCAGGCTATGTCAGAAATATCTTTTAGAATGTTCTTTGTTCTCTGTATTTTGAACCTTGTGCCTCTCCCTAAGTGCTATTGTTCAATATGGAGGACCGCAGCAGCTGACATGGTCCCATATCTCAGTGAGAACTGAGTGAGCAAACATTACATGTGTGTTTGGTCTGTACTCTTCAGCAGCGCTAATATTGTCATAGATCAGCTGAAGTTACTTCAGGGCAAGTGACAAGCAGCCTTCTCTGAGAACTTTATCTGGCGGTGGAGAAGCAGACACTCTTTGGGTTCTAAAGTTAGATGCTTAACGAAATAAGTGAACATGCTTCTTAGCACAATCTTATTGTGTAAATGGACTACATGAATAAAGGTGCTGGGCTGTATTTGAGCTTTGACCTGCTATGAGGCAGAAGGTTGTATTTTGGAAAACCATTTAATTCAATGTAGTGTGGACCACAAGAGGTTCGAAACATTGAATTATATTAAATTGTGTTTGTGTTAACATGCCAGACTTTTAGCCAATGTTACAACTTGCCCTTCAGTTTGTTAGAGCAGACCCCACCTGTCAGGAAAGTTGTAACGTTTGCTTACATGCCGCTAAAGGTCAAAATGTAGGTTGCTTGTATCAAATATTTGATAAAATGATTTAGCAAAAAGTAAAATGTTAGGTCGTTTCCCACTCTTCTTTATTGTTACATGATATGCATCATATTTACCAACATTTAATTTTACAAAAGGATGGGTGATATATTGGTATTGATAAACCAGTATTGTCTACACTGGTATTGATAGAGTATTATGTCCATGATAACATTTATGTTCTGTACAGTAGCTGTTGCCACATTGATATAAACACAGTATGTAAAGTTCCATTTGGGGTAATTTCAAGAAAATAAAACAGAACAGTACTTTAAACAAGCTCTGGAGTAGCAGTGCTCAGGAATCATCAGTTCATTAAATTTTTAATGCAAACCCGAATATAATCAGATACCATCATACAATGAGATATTTGGAAAATATCAAAATGTTAAATTTTACCACTACTGACTTAGTAAGGAATCTTCAGAATGTTTCAGAAAGTGTCAGACTCTGTAAGCCTGTCTCTAATTTTTCACAGAATAACTTAATATTACACAAAATAAGTCAGGGAAACCATATTCTTCATTTGTGGCCAAGGAGAAGTGTAGGATGGATGATGGCAGAGGTTCTGAAAATCCCCAAACAGAAATCTCTGGTTGGGGATTATAAGGGTGGCATAAAAAGAGGATTCAGAATGGAGTGAAATAAGGATTCTGCAACCTGCAGTTCTGCTTGCAGCTCTGAGAGCACAACACCGTGTAGAGGATTGAACACTGCACTCTGCAGCAGGGCTATTAGGCAAACTGATGACGAGGTGTACCAAGAGTTAGAAACGGACTATTCTACATTTATTTGCGCTTCTAAACGCATCCGTCTGTGGATTTTTATGAACTTTCTGTGTCTGTCTAGTGTAAAGTATCTGCGTTTGTTAAGTGTTTTTTGTTAAGTGTATTGACTTTCATTTTCTTTTAAGAGTATTGGGTTAGCGTTACATGTTTTTCTCATGCTTGTTTTTGACTGGTATTTGTATGGGAGGCTCCAAATCTGTTGAACTGCAGGGTTAAACCTGTTCTGGCTCCTTCCTGTTACACCAGTGCCTCTTCCTTTTTTCTTTGTCATTGATATGGAGCAAACCTTGAGCCCTGTTGGCCTGAATGCTTTGACTTCTGTTCTTGTCAAAGTACTCGCACTTTGGTCCTTCATATATATTGCAATGATGTGATGCCTATGCCTTGATGGGTTGTGTACATTAGTAGATTTCATATATTTATATTTATATTTATATTTGTGTAAATTCAGTTAAGTAGATTTTGATCTGAATAATGTGGTTTTAATTCTTACCAGCAGAGGGAGGCATACCTACCTTGACATAGATCCAGTGCCTCATGATACAGTGTCTGCACAGCATATCTTCATGGGTGACTAATAGATGTTTTGTAACTCCTAGAGGGAAATGAATAGCCTAGTGTTTGCTGAGAGTTTGTCCCTGCCATATGATAAATCATAACCTGCATAAACTTTAATACATAAATAGTGTCTGACATCTGAAAGCTTTCGATCCTGCTGTGATGGAGACTTAAGTTACAGTCAACAAGAAAGATGTCTCACAATAGTAGCTGGTGCTTTTTTAGTTACTGCACAACCTGTGCCAAGAAAATAAGAGAATAATAAAGAGAGCACAATGATTTGAGCTCATCGTTTGGGGATCCTTGCAGAATATGCACAATTTTGCTTTTGTGGTCCTTTTGGAGATTAATCAGCTTAACATTTGTGTCACCGATTGATGGAGTACTGCTTTCACTAATTTAGTCAGAATACTAAATGCACAACGGTGTTTGCTCTTTTTAAGGTGTCCCATCCACATGACCTTTGTTGAAAATTGGATTCTTCTATTAAATTTCATGTGCATAATGGGTCTTCTGAGCATTTTTTATTCTGTATTGACTTGCCCTTTTTAGACGTTTTTTTTTCCTCAAATTGCTTTAGAAATGGTGTAGAATTTCATTGCAAATTGCTTTAAAGAAGTGGAAGAAGTTAATTGTACCAACTGGAAGCTTACTTTGACAACAGTAGCCAGTTGCACGTGTTCAGCCATAGCCTAATTTGAACATAAACTGCACCTACAGTTGAATTAATGAGATTCTAAAAAAAAGTTTCAACCTCACCTTAAAACATAACTTTAGCAGGTGCAAAGTCTGCTGTTTTTATTTTTGAAAATCAATCCCGTTTTTAACAACCCTATACTGAAAACCATAAGCAGCAGGGCAGAATGAACAAATATCGAGTATGAATACAAGACATAAATACGTTGAGTACAATTCTTTATTTTAAAGCTCAATGCATTTGGATTGGTTCATTTGTCTTATATACACAGGTCTAGTCTAGATTGTGCAAGATGCAAGTGATCCATTCTGGTCTCGCCTGTCGCCTGGCTATCGCCACCTACCTTTGAAGGAAGACACTGGTTTACTGACATGTAAAGTGACCAGCCATAGTCTGTTGTTTTTGTGTGATATGCAGGGTCAGGCATGGGTCAAACTGTCAAAAAAAACAAAAAGCAAAAAACACTGTCATATTATGCAGAGCAGGAACCTGCTTGCTACTAATGACTAGCACACATTTAGCTTAAACAGAAATTCAGATTTTTTCAACGTAGGCTACTAATCTTTTACTTTTTTAACAGCCACGATTTACCACACAAAAAGTCCAGCACAGTTAGTTATTATATTTGTGCTGTGAATAAAGGAACATAAATTTTAAACTTTGTCAGAGTGATCAGTTACTATGTTACAGTGTGTTTTTTGAGTATTTTGGTGATATTCTTTGCACTTAAAAATGACCAACCGCATATTTTATTACAAAGAATGCAACATTAGTCCTGTTTAACTATGTTTAGTGCCACGCAGTATGTAAAAATGTTGAATAAAAATTGTATTCTTAGTTTTTTGTTTTTAAATGTAGCACCATTTTTTGTCTACTCCAACTTATCAGACCTCTGAGAAATGAAATATTTTGATACTTATTGTGTGTCATGAAAATATCTTCAGGTATCATGATATTATGTTTTTCCTATATCACCCACCCCTAGCACTAGTTATGGTGTGCGTTATGTGTCTTTGGTGCAACTGAAATTCTTTATGTCGGTGCTACGATACTGTATGATAACAAACTTTCAAATATGGTTTAGGTTAGACTTTACACCCTAACTCATGATCTAACTTGCATTCAGTTGGTGTAAAGAGGTTTCTTCATTCTATTCATAGAATACTGTGCTTTAGTCAGAATGATTAGTAATATAGTTTGGTCACATGCCTACCAGTGAATCAGCAGCCTCAGAATCTTTTTGCAAAGTAATTAGTCAACACACTTAAGACCCAAATCAATGAACACTTACTCCTTTTTATTGTAGGCAAATAATCATGAAGCTGAGAGCAGAGTGTTTGCCACTCCCTTGTAGCTTTTGGAAAATGGCCACAGAGCAGAGATCAGGGCACAATGCAAATGAAGGTGACATTACAGCCTGTGGATGTATACTGTCCCCTCAGAGGGAGATGTCCCTGTAGCTCCTTTCACCTCATGGTCATGAGCAGCCTCAGTCCTACTGCCTGTGAAGAACTGGGATAGTTACTGACAGTTTACCTCAGAAGATCCCTCTCACAGCATTTTGTTTGGCTAAAAAGCGTCCCAGCATGTGCACACGCGCAAAAACGAGCACACAGTGGAGAGGAAGGAGCTCTTCTGTTGTCTGTGATGTCGAGTGTTAGAGCTGTGGCTGATCTTGGCTGAAAGCATGCTGAGGAAGCTGATGTGTAAGAAGATCTGTGCCTGTAAGCTGCACTCCACTCTACACTCACTACACTCTTTTTCATTTGTTTTGACTGCCGATATTCTACTTTACTGCTGTTTGTGAGATTGCTGATGTCCTCTAGAGTGCTGTAATTGTCGCCTGCTGAGGGATGTGGTCAAACATGGATTCAGTAATGTTCTTATGGATTTTACAAAATATAAATGGGCTACTTTTGTCTTACACTTTGTACCAGATTTAATATGTGGAGAGAGATTAATTCCTCTTCCAGCAAAAGTGCAGCTTGTTTGTAATTGCCGAAAGTGTGGAACACATTGCTTATATGTTGAACCTTTTCTCTGCAGATAAGAATTTTGATGATGAGGACTCTGTGGACGGGGGCAGATCTTCCTCCTCCTCCTCCTCTAAAGGCTTCTCCAGCAGCAGAAGAGGAGGCAGCATGGGCTCCATGAGACGCCCCAGCTCAGCCTCCGGGCCCAGGGCTGCAGGTAATTCACTCTCTTACTCTTCAGAGCTTCAGCTGATCAGCTGATGAGACGTTTTAATGTTTTTTTTTTAAATATATGCCAGTTTTTAATCTGACATGTTTCAAAAAATTCATTAAGTTAATTGGCAACAGGTCAGTAATGTGATTGGGTATAAATAGAGCATCCCAGAAAGGCTTTTAGATGTAAAGATAGGGAGACATTCACCTCTCTGTGAAAGACTGCATGGGCAAATAGTGCAACAATTCAAGAATAAGGTTTCGCAACGTAAAATAGCCAAAAACTTGCGAAGTTCATCATATATGGTACCTAAAATCATTCAAACATTCAGAATCCAGAGAAATCACTGCATGCAAGGGACGGTGCCGAAAACCAATATTGGCTAGTAATGATCTTTGGGCCCTCAGGCGGCACTGCATTAAAAACAAGACATGATCCTGTAGTGAAAATGACTTCATGGACTCAGGAACACTTCCAAAATTGTCTGTAAACACAGTTTGTTCATGCATCCACAAATGCAGGCTTTACTATTATAATGCAAAGAAGAAACCATATATAAACAGGATCCAGAAACGCTGCCGCCTTCTCTGGGCCCAAGGACCATTTAAGATGCATCGAGGCAAAATGGAAAAGTGTCCTGTGGTCCGACCCATCAAAATTTGAAATTCTTTTTGGAAATCATGGACGCTGCATCCTCGACTTAAAAGGAGAGTGAAAGAGAGACCATTCGGCTTGTTATCAGCGAACAGTTCAAAAGCCAGGATCCGTGATGGTATGGGGGTGCATTAATGCACATGGCACGGGTGACTTGCACATCTGTGAAGGTACAATTAAGGCTGAACGATATATACTGATTTTAGAGCTACATATGCTGCCATCCAGATGACATCTTTTTCAAGGATGGCCTTGCTTATTTCAGCAAGACAATGCTCAACCACATTCTGCACATACGACAACAGCATGGCTTTGTAGTAAAAACGCCATTGTGCTAAACTAGCCGGTCTGTAGTCCATAGCTGTCACTCCTTGAAAACATTTGGCATGTTATGAAGTGAAAAATATGACATGGGAGACCCCAAACTGTTGAGCGGCTGAAATCTTATCAAGCAGGAATGGGGAAAAAATTCAATTTCAGAATTACAGCAACTGGTCTTCTCAGTTTCAAAATGCTTACAGTGTGTTGTTTAAGACGAGGTGAGGCAACACAGTGGTAAACATGCCCTTGACCCTACCTTTTTTGAAATGTGTTGCTGGCATCAAATGCAAAATGGCCATATATTTTTAAGTAAACAAATTGTCAGTTATATATGTTATGTTGCCTTTGTACTAGTTTCAATTTTTAAATCATTTGCACATCATTGCAATCTGTTTTTATTCACATTTTGCGCAGCGAAACTCCCAGCATTTTTGGAAATGGGGTTGTATAATCTAGTTATGTAGATATTAATACAGCAGGTTAACAAATCAGAACAAACCCTGGCACAAGTAGTCGTTCAAGCCGCTGTCATCTTAATGTAGCTGACAAATAAGCCACTTGGATAGTACTGTGCAAAAGTAACAGCAGCTGTGTTTTTGCCAGTCAAAACACTATACAATTTTAGAATAAATGCAAAAAAAGTAAAACATAGAATGACTTTGTTTTTAATGTTATTAATATCTTCTTTAAATAAATACCATTAGAAGAACACATTTAGTTACTGACTTCTTTCTGCAGGATTTGTTCAATTCCATCAACAGCAACACTGATTTAATTTATCGAAGGATTAGCTGAACTAGGTATTGGATGCTAACTGTTAATACTGAACTTCTTCAAGGAGAGCTTTAGAAATGGTTAAGCAAATCACACTGTATCTTATTTATTTATTTATTTATTTATTTATTTGTGTTCATTTTAATGTTAGGATTTTTTTGAACAAATAAGTTCTTACAGCCCAGATGAACACCTTTACATGACTTTGGTACAGTACTGCACACTATTGTTGAGTAGTAGTCTGATAATAACTGAGCAGTCAACTGTGAAAGAATGATATTGGAAGACACCTAAGGAACAAAAGTACACGTTTAAGCCATCAGATTTGAATTATGTAACATCACTGGGTACATGTTGGTTTTGTTTTTTGGGCAAGGCATGAAGGGATTTATACAGTGATAGAAATGACGCTATAACAGAACGTTGTTGTTGTTATTATTATTATTATTATTATTATTATTATTATTAGTTGTTGTTGTTGTTGTTGTTGTTAGATGGAATAACCATTCGTTTACTGACTGCTCCTATGTGACCGTTCCTACACTGAACTGAAATAATTAGCCTCTTTGTGTTCTGATATTTTTGTCAGATGTTTTAATCTCAGCTTCAAATATTTAGTGTAAGGACAGGCCTGTTGTAAGGACACTGGTTTGAAAAAAAAAAACAAAACAAAAAAAAACAATTGTTGTTTCCTGAACAAGTTACCATTTTAGCCACTTAGTATATATGCTGATTTTGTCTACAGGGAAGGAGGGAGCCAGTGCAGGAGCTGTTGATGAGGAAGACTTTATCAAGGCTTTTGAAGATGTTCCTGCTGTGCAGGTAAGGCACACAAATGATTTTTTAAACGCAGCATGACTCAGTAAGACCAAATGTGAAGTAAATGCAGAATAGACTGTTTTCTTTCTTTGCTTTCTTTTACTTCAGTTTATTATCTAAACCTATGAATGTACTGTATAACCACTATTGTTTTGACAGATCTATTCCAGTAGGGAATTGGAGGACTCTGTGACTAAGATTCGTGAGGTGCTGTCAGATGACAAACATGACTGGGAGCACAGAGTTGCTGCTGTAAGTGATGCTCAATCTGCCAAGATCTTTCACTTTTTCCACCATATTTCTTAACCTGCACAGTTTTAGAGTGTTTGTGCTCTGGTAAGTTCTTTTCTTGCTTTAAATGGAGATAAAGAGGTATTATTTCTTTTCGCTTTTCCCAGCTGAAGAAAGTGCGGTCACTGCTCCTGGCTGGAGCAACGGAACATGAAGGTTTTCTTCAACAGCTCAGACTTTTGGAAGGTGCCTTCAAGCTCTCTGCAAAAGACTTGCGATCACAAGTCGTCCGGGAGGCATGCATCACCCTTGGGTACGCATGACTCCTGTGTTTTTTCCACACCCTGTACTATGATATGATTAGTTACATTTTGTCAACTGCAGTAATATGTTAAAAACAAGGGTAAAATTTAGAGAAAAAGGTTCTGAAGAAAAATAAGCCCCTGTCTGAGCGAACATGTCAGTTTCTGCTATATATTCCATCTTATCCTCTTAAAAGTTGTATTACATCAAACACAAATTTTATATGGAAACTCATGTTGGCTTTTTAAAATTTAGTGTGGATTATGGTGATGGAGCATGTTCCAGTGCAGGTCCTTAATTATTTCATCTTAATGTGTTTCTAATGAGGTGAGACAGAACTGACTGAAGCGTTGAGTAGAATTTTGCTTTTAAAGAGCAGCTGCATGATGGATATATGAACAGGCTTCATATTTTACTGTCATCCAAATGTCTGGCTGATACATGTCTCTCAACCTGTAATCAGCTTATTTTTATGTTTTGACTGAAGTTTTTGACTGATTAGTTGTTTGTCATCTCTCAGGCATCTTTCCTCAGTGTTGGGGAACAAATTTGACCACGGAGCAGAGACTATAATGCCCACACTGCTTAATCTTGTGCCCAACAGCGCCAAAGTCATGGCCACATCAGGCGTGGCCGCCATCCGCCTCATCTTACGAGTGAGTGTCTGTGGAGAATATGAAGTTTTTCCCTAGTGTATCTTAAAGACCTTTCACCTGTATAAAGAGCTTTATTTTGCATCACTACTGTTTAACCTAAAACTATTTAGGCATTCTGCTGCACTTCTCCATTTTCATAAATATCATAAAAATTAATCTTTTTTGAAACCCAGCAATTATTAGAAGTGAACTGCAAGTGAAAATCAGTACAAATTTTTTTCAAAGCCTTATATTTAGTGATGTTACACTGTTTAATTCATGTGACGTATATGTTCAGAATTCCAAGATGGTCATCAGGTCACTTTCCTGAAATTTGGATCATAAAGAGAAAACTCTGACAGAATCTTGACAATTCTTTGTTAGTTTACATTACTTTTAAATGATGAAGAAACTGTGATTATATAGACATGTTTGAAAGTGTGCAGCATGGTAGTTTATGGTGCTTAAAGCATCATAATCGAAATGATCACTATTTAGAACATTAGTGTCACAGGTCAATCCTTGCAGGAAAATAATTTTTGTCCTCATATCGCCCGTTTTCTTATTCTCAGCATACGCACTATCCTCGTCTCATCCCTATAATCACCAGTAACTGTACATCCAAATCAGTGGCTGTTCGAAGGTAAGACCACTCACTTCTACTGGTAATGAATATGGAAGGATAGGGTGATTGACTGTTTGAGAAAGTTGTGTAAACTTGATTTTTCAGTGAACCATTTATTTAAAATGGCAATAATGGATATAAATGCACTCCATAATAATGGATATAAAGGCATTAATTACCACTTCATAATGAACTTTGATGCCTGCTGTTTTGCTTAGCAGAAACTCTCTCCTGTTTAAATATTTTAGATGGCTGTAAAATGTTGAATTTTTTTTTTCTTTTCTCCTTCAGACGGTGTTATGAATTTTTAGACCTGTTATTGCAGGAATGGCAGACAAATACATTAGAGAGGTGAGTCCAGAAAGTCCAGATAGAATTCCTTTTATACTCGCATAATGCAGACCCTGAAGAAAAAAACGCTTTCTTCATTCACATGGAGGGTGTGTATTCACACGTGTTGATCAGCTCCAGTTTTTGTGACATTTAACTTGTATAGTGTGTGTGTGTGTGTGTTACTTGTCTCATCTTGGCTGAACGGGTGACCAATGATTCCTTTCAAGGCCCTTAATTGATGAGCGGCAACCATGCGTCCCCACCGTTTCCATGGCAATATTCCCTAGAGCCCTTTTATAAGGAGCACTGGGCTCCGACTCTCTCTTCTCTCTCTTTGGGCTGCTTTTGCTGTTGTGAAAGGTCTGGAAGCAGGTCCAAGAAGTTTCAAAAGACAGTGGGTCGCTGCTTGTTAAAGACTGGTGTAAGAGTGAGAAGCTTGCAGCTGGTTTGAGTTGCGCTTAGCCATGTTTCCATATTATCCTAGGCATGTTGCAGTTCTCACAGAGACCATCAAAAAAGGGATTCATGATGCTGATTCGGAGGCCAGATCTGTAGCAAGAAAGTAAGTTTGTTCAGTATTTTGGTGCATGTTATTAAGTTGATTAATTCAAAAATAGTACAGAGTTGCTGCGAGTATAAAATGATGGCCCCTGCATTTCATTTGTGTTTGCATGTCAGTATTTTCCAGCTGTCGGAATAAGACTGAGGAGTTGATATTTGTCTGCTGTTTGCAGGTGTTACTGGGGATTCCATGGGCACTACAGCCGAGAGGCGGAGCACCTGTTTCAGGCTCTCGAGTTGACCTATCAGAAAGCCCTCCAGTCTCACTTGAAGAGTTCTGACAGCATAGTGTCGCTGCCTCAGTCAGACCGTTCCTCTTCCAGCTCACAGGAGAGCCTCAAGTGAGACACACTAATACACCCAAACACACACTTTACTCTGCTTGTTTAAAAGGGAATTCCACCAGTTTATCAAAATTTCTTCATAATTCAATCATTGAGATGTAAACAGCTGTTCAAGGTGGTTTGGTGTGAAATGGTGCGTTGTTGAAAAAATTAGTGACTGATTTATTTATGATGGTGACAGGAGTTTTACATGTAATGATGATCATGTTAAAATAGTGATAAATCTGAACAAAAAAATTGTTTTTGGGGGGATTATTTTGCATTAGAACACCTCTCTGCAATTAAGGTATTTTTAAAAATGCATTTTAGGCTAAAACCTTATCTCAAAACATTAAAAAAAAAAAGTTTCAGGCATCAGAAAGCCTGTTTGTAACTATTTGTTTAATGGCTTCCTGTGATGTAGCTTTTGGAAACATTTAAACATTTAGGACGTCTGGTACCTATCACCAATCCTTTGAACGAAACTAACTCGGTAACTTTCTCTAGAATGGACCATTTGAAATCAAATCCTTCAGAACAACTTCGTTTACATCTTTAACATTTAAATATGCAGACATTTTGAAAAATGGATGAAATTTCCTGTTAATGCTAATTGACATGGGGAGAAATGTAAGGTACTACAGGGTTGCATGGGTTTGCGTCCTAAATCCTGAATGACTGTATTTCAAAATAAGAACTGATATACTTCACTAATCAATTAATTTGCTATATTGAAGTCACCTTTTCAGCTTGATATGCCAAGCAACCATTGTATCTTATTGTATCAGTGGCAGTAATCTCTAACTGCAGAAAGATTTGGCAGCCTTGGCAAAAGGAGCATGCGCAGTGATCGAAGCATGTGTTTCCCAGCATAATGATATCTTGCTGGATATTGGGCAATGATCTCATCTCCAACATTCTAGCATCTGCTTGATTTGTCTATTTAGAGAAAGTGAGATCATCACTCTCCCTGCATTACCGCTGAAGTGCTGGAGTGATGTTCTCAATCGTCGCTCGAGTGCAGTACACAAAACACCAAACACAGTCACCATGGCTGCTGTTCACAAAACTTAGAATCACCTTTCTCACCAGAGAAGTGCAACATGTAGCTGAATAAGATTCTTAAAGTTAAACCATATTTGCTAATACTAACCATATCAAATATGTAGAAAGGTTTTGACCCCTGTCATGTTGGCCCTAACTCTGAAGGTTAAGATAGATAAGATTTAAGATGTTATTTGCATGAATAGGCTAATTTAAATTTTAAACACATAACAGCGACTGCTGTGTGAATACGTGATTTCTGCTCTTCTGAATTCAGCTTAGTTGTGTTCTGTTGCCATAGCAGCCCTGTCTGCTTTAATCTGTCAGTAAAACTAATCTCCTCAGTGCTACCAGAAAAGCTCTTGGATCCTCATTTTTGTTGTCAGCTTATTTGCCCTCACCCTTAAGTTTGTAGTGTTTTTGCAGAGTATTTGGCTTGACAGACCTGTCACCTTTTGGAAACTGCTCATCTGAAATCTTTGTCCATTTTTCTTAGCCCCTTCAGAACCATTGCTGTCACTGACAAATGACTTATTGATTTGTCACTGACAAATCTTATTTAACTTTTTTCTTTAGTCGGCCGCTGTCTGTGAAGAGCGTTATAGGAGGCAGCATGACCAGAAGTAAGTTTCTCGCTGTATGTGTTCAGACACATATTCAATGATACATCAAAGATTACTTTTTCTGTTTCATGAGATGTCCTTTGAAAACATGTCTGGTATGTCTCTCTTCTGCACCAGGTAAGGTTGTGAGCTCCAGAGTTCCCTCCACGCCCGGGTCCCTCCAGCGTTCTCGCAGCGACATCGATGTGAATGCTGCTGCCAGTGCCAAGTCCCGCATGTCCACCACACCTTCACCTTCCCCTTTCAGCTCTGCCGCAGCCCTGCCTCCAGGATCCTATGCCTCCCTGGGTAAGCCCCCTTACAGAACTCAGGATCAGCTCTGAGGGCTGTGCTGTTAAAAATTCTCTGTCCATATTTTCTCTAATCTCATCCTTAATTAAGGACTTCTAATGAAATGCTCACGAAAACCACTGGCTTTTATGGCCATAGCAGCCCATTAATAAAGCTGATGGCCACCATAGATGCTATTAAGCTGTGCTCTGATGAGGAACAAATGACAAACAGTGTCACAGATGTCTTCTGATTTTGTTAACGATGGTTTATGTAGTTTTAGGCTTTTTTCCATATTATTTATGTATTTATTTATTTATTTGCTCTTTCCTGATCATGGTCTTTTAAGTCAGGGCACATACTAAACAGCTTAAATTTGTGAGCGGTGCTGCTGTAGTTAATGTTTTTTTTATCTTTCATCTTAAACACTTCTCTGCCACTACCTATATAATCTGGTCTTTATGTGGGTTAATATTGTGTATGTCCTGTCCAATGATGTTTTAAACCCTTACCTTTTACAATGTGTTATAGAGGTTAGTCTTCATTCCCTTACTTGCAGTCATAAATTGTTCTCGCCCTTTGCTTCCATGCAAGACCTAACTCTGGTTACAGCCCTGTCTTCCACGCTTCCTCCAACCTAACTGACTCTAATCTCTGCCTCTTATACTTCTCCTCTTCACCCTGCACTCCCCTGTTTGTTTTTTTGCCCCAAAGATGGTACACCTGGTAAAATAGATGGTAAGATTTGTGTATGTATTTATGTATATACGTGTCTTGGTCTGAGCCCTATGGAGGGTTATAGGCAGTGTTGTTCTCTGTGTTCTCTTTATGTTAAAGGCAGCTTAACTGTGGTGACCCTACTTCTGCATGATCCATCTGCATGGTTTACCAACCCCTTTCAAACTTAATAGGGAGCCATAACAAACTGTTTTTTTTTTCTTAGAAGTCAGTGTTTGATCTGGTTGTTGTTTTTTTTCCCCAAACAAAAGAATAATTACTTTACAAAAAATGTTTTTTGTACCATTTAGATGTTTTTGGTATTTGCTCTTCTTTAGATTGACCACAAATGCAAATTGTCACTGTCCAAAAACAAAAATAATAGTAAAATAGTAACTTTACTGAGGAAGGCCAAAACAACTTCTAATATAAATTCATCTAAGAGATTGTATTACAAATAATTTTGGAGCATTTCTCTGGTTGCATACATTGTAAGAGGCAGCTATATTCAAATGATGTAGAAAAAAAAGAAAAATTAAGATTTTTTTTTTTTTGGATGGCAACAAAATACATTTTATCATATGAAATAGTTTACTTTTTTGTAATCTAGTGTACTTAGATTTTGTCAGTTATGTGTATGATGCCAAATCGCAAGGATATTTAGTCAATGTATGTATTTATTTAGTCAGTGATTTATTTGCATATTTTTACATAATTTACCGTTGCATTCACTTCACTGGACTTTTCTTTTCACTGGGCAGTTTACTTTCTTAAGCTCTTACTTTTCAGGTCTTTAACATAAACCTTGGAACACTGACAGGGCTGCATATAACCAGATAGTATATGATACTAATGCAAAAGAGGTTTCGCAGACACAAAATAGAAATTTTTTTTCTCAAAGCATGTCAAGAACAGCCCAAATGATATTTGAAAGTCTTTGGTGCCTTTTGGTCTTTGGTGAATTTTCATGAATTCCTACCCCTGTATTAATGTCTGTCTCTTCTCATTCATAAAAGCTTGTTTCTCCTTGTATGTTTTCCCCCAGCTCTTTCACTCCACCTCTATAGAACTCTAACACTGGTCCTTTCTGCATATGATATCGACAGGTCGTGTGCGCACAAGACGGCAGAGCTCTGGCAGTGCTGTTGGTTCTAACACTACAGTAACGGACAGCCGAGGCCGAAGCAGAGCTAAAGTGGTGTCTCAGTCTCAGCGTAAGTGCTCACAGTCTGTTCCCTTCTTAGTCATTTCCAGGCAGCTCCAGCAGATGGCATCACTTATCCACAGCCCAAATCTGTGGGAGCACCTTTTCCATTTCCAGTAAAGCATACTCCTCCAGTATGGCACCTCTTCCTTGTGATCATACATCTTGCTTCTCTGTTGGCTGTTTTCAGTGTTCTCGTAACACAGATTGGCGTCATGCTGAAAGTGGTTAACATGCAGTTCAGGACTGTATTGTCCTCTAATAGACTAAATTAATTTGACCAGTGCATGGATTAATGAAACATCTTGCCTGGTGCATGCTGGTTTATCATGTCACATTGAGCATCTTTTATAACTGGCTCCTTTTCACCTGTCCTCCGGCTCGCCTCCATACACAAGGATCCAGATCAGCTAACCCCACTGGTGGTAAGCCCCCAAGTTCATCCAAGCAAAGCTACTACGTCATCGAACCTAAACATTACCCTGCATGACCTTACCCGTTGTCTCATTGTGCCATAGAGCATGTTTTAATTTGATCTGTTGTTTTTTTTTCTTCTTTTCAGGTATAGAAAGTGGTGGTGTTATTGTTGTTGTAGTCATTATTATTTTAAGAAATATCCGCCCCCCCCACCCCCCACTTTTATTTATTTAGTTATTTATTTATTTAGTTTTTTTATGTTTATATGTATGTGAGTAGTCTTTCGTTCTTTCAGCACAAATGTTGTCTTACTCACATAATGTTCCCCCTACAGCAGAAGTAGATCCTGGATCAAAGTAGTCTTGCAGTTGTTTATGCACCTGAATTCCATCAAAGCTGAAATCTCTAGATGCTGTCATAGGCATAGTGTCAGCTCAGCTCACAGCTGTACAGATGCTATGATATATGTGCTGTCTTCTATTTGGCATGAAAGATTGGAATTTAATTGTTCTAGTCTCACATTATAGGTGTCAGTATTTTAAGTGCCGTACTATAAATCAGTGAAGACATTCTGGAGTGCGGAAAGTGGGCCATGCAGCTGTCCTTCTGTCACTAAATGCTAAGTACAGAAACTCCTTGAGATAAGTAGCCTGGATGTTTTAAAAGCTGCTATAATGAATTCAGCTTTGAATTAGTAGAAATTGTATTCTGTGAGAAGAATGGAGCTATTACTGAACACTTCCAGTTGCTGCAGAAAGTGATCTGTTTGTTGTGTCACTAATCCTCACTGTTTCTTCTGGCTCTGTTCCTGGCAGCTGGTAGCCGTTCCAGCTCCCCTGGAAAGCTCCTGGGACACACATATGGCAGAATCCCACGGGCTACTGCCATGGCTACACCAACTGACAAGCGCACAAGGGTCCCAAGAAGCCAGGGCTGCAGCCGAGAGACCAGCCCTAGTAGGCTGGGCTTAGGTAAGGGCACACGGTGTCTTAAGGATGAGAGGTTCTCAAAGCTTAGAAGCCTAAAGAGAGCATCCACTAACCTAAGATTAGCAGATTTGTTAAGAAAAATCTTTTTAAATTCAAGAAGCCTTCAAAGCAATACTTGTGGAACCTCTACAGACACAAATAAGGTAGAATTATTGTTATTGTCATTAGCCTCATGCTAACATTTGTTGGGAAAGGTAAGAGTCTTCACATCAAATGTGGTTTGAAGAATTACACTACATAAATGGCAAGCTGCAGCGATGTGTTCAGAATGCTCTGAACTGTTTGTAGCATTTGTAGGATCATCTTCTCCTTACAAATACCATCAGTGCAGAGCCATGGAATGGCTCTCTAAGGAATAATGGCTCAGCATTTGGCTCAGCTGTTGATTAGGATGCTGATGCTGTTATTTTCCTGTCTGAGTCAGTGGCTTCTCACTGCTATCTTGGTCATGTAGTTGATATACTTGTTACAGTATAATGGTAAGGATGACTAACCAGATCCTTCCATTTGTGCCTCTCATCAGCTTTGTCACTATGCGTTGATATCATTGTGTCTTCCAGTCCTTTGTCATGTCTGTACATTTGGAAAAGCTGCCTCTTTTAAGATCTGACCAGTAAATATTTCTGATACTGATTTTTACTGAAAATACCTTGAATTCAATATTGATTTTGGTTTTCTTTTTAAAAAGGAATTAAATTTTATAAATTAATTAATTAAAATTGTTGTCTAGATTTTATGTTTTGATACTTCACTAGCATGTTGTGTTTTTTGTTGGTTCATATTTAAATGTTGCAAATTGTGTTGTCAGAGGCTACCTAGACTGTCTGCACAGACTAATTCAACCAAAATGGTGAGCTTTTGCTTTCAGTATCTAACCTTTTCTAAAATGGAGTGACATCAGAAGCTCCTAGCGCAGCCCTTGTCTCTCCAGCAACCGTCCTTTGTCCTGGTTCTGGCCTCACTGTGGCCTCACTAACGCCCTAACGTGTGTCCTAACAGCCAGGCTGTGTGGTAAAGCTCTTCTTCCTGCTGCTTCTCCTTACCGCACGCTAGCCCGGAGCAGCCGCATCCCCCGCCCCAGCATGAGTCAGGGGTGCAGCCGTGACACCAGTCGCGAGAGCAGCCGTGATACCAGCCCCGCTCGGGGCTTCACTCCTCTGGGTGAGTAAACCATGCAGGTGATTGATGGAGCCCACCATCAGCAGACTACCCTGCCCTCTACTCTACAATCCCTTCACTAGTCCCAAACCCCCAGTACACAAGAATCCTTCTGGCCCTTCTCTATGGATCTTCCAATCAAACGGTCCCTTCCCACAGTCCCCCTTAATGATCCTCCTTCTCTTACCTGCCCTCTGTTTTGCATGTATTAATTTTCTTAAGGTCCTACAGTAATCACTACTGCTGTGCCACTACTTTGCATTTCCAAATGACCTAAGATCCCTGAATATTTTTATTTATTTATTTATTTATTTATTTATTTTTTAAAACCCATATAAACTACTTTTGCATGTTGTCCAGACAGTATACATTTACTTCAGATTTCTGACTTACTACATACTTGTGCTTACTACATGCTTTTTCAGTAAGGCTAATCTGTAAAATCTGACAGAGTCTACTCTTTCAATGAGAGACATGACTAAGAGAAAAAAGGCAGCAAGTGACCTGCAATGTACACTTCATTGTACTTTGTGTTCATTGCTAATCTGCTTTCACTGCTTGTGAATGTCTCCTACAGTGGCAAATGGAGAAATGTTGCGTCTCTCGCGCTGCTTGGCCGCAGCTACCAGTGTACCACTTGTATGTCTTGCTCATAGTTAGATAGCTTTTCGGTTTTGAAGGGCGCATGCTGAATTTTGTCTCCTGCCACGGATGGCACTCTGTTTGGGTGGTGTAGTGTAGCACTAACCCTACCTGGGGTGTTACCCCCCTCTTCCTGTCCCCTGCAGCCTCCCGACGCCACTCTCGCTCCACCAGTGCGCTGTCCACGGCAGACCCCGTGGGCCAGTCAGGTGACCTGCATGCCCCCCTCTCCCTGCCCTCCACTCAAGCATGCCTTCATTCTGTTGACCTAGTGTTGCTCAATCAGGCTAAAATTTTCACACTTCAACTGACGGACTTGATTATCGTATGTTAAACAGTTAGTTGATTACACTGAAGTACATTTAACTTCTTTGGAGCAAGTATCCTGAAGTGTGAAGTTTTACGCTTGTTGTGCCATATTCATGCAGATGTTTTTGTTGCTCATCCTTGTACTAGATAATGCTTATTAGCTGCCTGTAGCTTCATCTGATTGAATTGTTTGTTGGGACAGTGACAGTTCTGTTTCGTTTAGCTCCATGTATGAAGTTTTATTTAAGGAATTATTTTTGGTGCAAACAGTACTGGTTTGCTGGGTTTTTGTTGTTGGCGCATAAGAAGAATAATTTTTTTCAGTTGTCTTCAGTTGTCATTTGTGGTATCTGTGCAATGCATTTCATGTTATTTTTGTCCTTCCTTTGGAATTCATGGATTTTGTGCTTTTCAAGAGCCCCAGTGGTGCAAGTTTTGGGTGCTACTAAATGTAAAAATGGAATTAATATCTGCTTTTTGTGACTTGTAATTGGTCTGTGGTTTATTGAAGACGTTGATGCTGTGTGGTTTTGTTATGCTGTTGCCTGTTTTTGTATTACAGTTGCTCATAATTGAATTCATTCTCTTTGATTTTCTAGAGGCTTTTTTTGATGATTTTTTTGGTGATTTGGTCTCTATTTATATCCATCTTCTGTAAACTCGTCTCACAGTCTTTGTTCCCTTTCTCTCCAAATGTTGTGCCAGCTATGTAACTATTCACAGACATGCAAGGTAAGTATCTTTTTTTTAATTCTATGTGTGGCGCTCCTAACTCCTCCTCTGGTGTTCTCTTATTTCTCTCAGATCGGTTTGGGCTAATCCACCAGGCCCGTATTTCTGCCTCTGTCAATGCCATGAGAGTTCTGAACACAGGGACAGAGGTTGAAGCTGCTGTAGCTGATGCACTGGTAAGATTATTTTCCCCCATCATTTATAGCCTACAGTGTCTCTCTGTGGCCCCTTTCACACCTAGCATTAACATATATGTTGGGTGATCAGATCATAAATGGACAGGTGTGAACAGGGTCCAGTGTGTCTTGGACATGCACAGTGATTACTCACGTAAACCAGCAATGAGAGCGACTTGGCCTGATTGGTACAGCTAAATTTGGACCGCAAACTCGACCCCAGCCCACTGCAGAGATGGATGATTAAAGGCATGGTTTTACAGTGCTTTGCTGTATTTTTTTTTTTTTACATCTGCACTAAAAATATTTATTATCAAATTATTATTATGTCGTACCTGTCAGAGAACAACATCCACCCTCCTCTGATCTACTGTTGAATTAGCCCCGCTGTGTTCTTCTCACCACTGCTGCTACTTGTGGGAGTGCTTAACACAGTTTGGGCAAACTTAGAAGCAAGGAGAAAGATCCACTTTCCACCAACCAGCACACTCCTTTGATCATCCATTATTTCATTCGGGGGGGCGTTCTCCCACTCCACAAACTAAATAGCTTTGATTTTACCAGTAGGGTTGCATCAATGGCGATACCGTTATCGGTCTGATACTGCGCTCATTTTCTCGCACTCATAAGAATTCACAATTACCAACATTCGGATTCCGAACCCATTGTAGATACCACGCTAATGAACAAATGCAGGTAAGACACGGTAGGACAATGCTGTGTCTCTACAGCCTATTTTACATCACCACCTGGCATTTAGCTTCACAGCACAGCATTAGTAGCTCTGCTCAGTGTCTCTGTGTTCAGTCCCAGTGTTATTTTCAGTGAAGCAGCTTTATTTGATACTGTTTGAAAACAGAGCTGTCTGTAAAGGCTGTGTTTGACGTAACATGGATAGAAAAGTACAATGAAAAAAATATATATTGTAGCCTTTGTTCGTACGTGATGGTCTATTCAAAATTACAGTGCAAGTCAGAACAAGATTTCTAAAATCACACAGTCTGGATTTAGAGCACATTCAGCTACAGCTCAACCAACAAAGACTCTGAGAAGGCAATAAACTCACGTTAGCTCCTCGGATGCGTTAGCCTCGGATATGATTCCTGCTGTCACTGAGCTACAGAGACTGATGTTGAAAGACACAGATGAGGATTAAAAGTACACATGTGAGATAGAGAGAGATAGAGAGAATGCATAAGTGTGTAAAATCTACTTCATAAAAAAAAATCTTGTTCCAGAACCAGCCAAGCCTGATCCAAGAATGATGTTGCACGTGAAAAATAGTCCTGAACCCAAACCAAAACCTAGTGTTTTGTCGGGCCCCATTGGGCTCCACTTGGGTAGCAGACCTTTAGGCCTGATGCATCCCAGACAGTAAAAAAGGGCTGCTTAATTTACTGTGTGTCTTATTCTCTGTTAGTCTAAATGCGAAGTTAAAAGTCTATGCAATCTAAATATGCTTAATAGCTCACTGTACATGAATGGAAATACTCGCTGGACATTTTTGTCTGACAACACATGCAGCAATGTGAAATGACATGGCATTCTTCCTTTAGTCCGATCACAAGTGGTCACTGAAAATGCATTCAAGACACATTGAAAATCCAAATGTCAGCATCTCATTGTACATGTGAGGTATTATAATATACTTGAGATGGAAGTTAATATCAGGTGTGAACAGGGGCTTTGTCTGTTTTCTGTCTTGTTGTGAAATAAACTTTTAGGGTCAAAATAAAAGACCAAATTAACCTTACAATACAATGCTTAAAAATGCCAAGCTTGGAATTATTTGAACTCTTAAGATATCTATGAAAACACTTTTAATAGATTAAACATTAGGTGTGTCTCAAAGTGAAGGTTGCAGCCAAGGTTGGAGAGACCTTGTTAGCACTGTTATACTAAAGCTGCTCTTCAGTGCTCACTTATGCAGGTTCGAGCATTTTAGTTGCGCACATTGTAGACAGACACATCATAGCGTATTGATGTAAAAAATGTAACACAGTTAAAGCATACATTGAACAAACATTAACTGTTACAGTTTATTACATTACTTTGGTGAAACAGCATTTTGCCTATAGCGGCAGGTTTTTTTTTTTTTTATGGTTTTGCGCCATGCATGAAGGATTGTGGGAGACTGAAGGTCTCAAAGGATACACCAGTTAAGTCCTTCGATTTCTCAGAAATGAATGGGTCCTTTTTTGACCGCATTCGAAGGATCCTAAAAAGTGGGACTGTCTCCAGTGACAAAATGGCAGAGAAATACAGGCTTCCTTCGCTGCACCTATGACTTTGAGACACAGCTTTTGTTATGTAAACCAGTGTATATTCCTCTGAATTAAGTACCTCAGTAGCAGCCATGTCAGTTACACAGCTGTGATTGCCTGGGTACAATTTCCAAACTGTATCGGAGCCCTCTTTGAAATATATATGTCTCTTTGCTCTTCCTTTCTTGTTTGTCTGGTAATATCTTCAGCTGTTAGGAGACTCCAGGAATAAGGTAGTTTTTGAATTCACACTGTATTGCCATCTTATCCACTAATCCGCAAAGTCACTCATATCATCATGCAGTGAGTGTCGAGTGAGGCTGAAAGCACTTCAGAAACCACCACAAGCATTTCATTTCTAATTTATTAAGCGTTTCTAATCAACGCCTTCATCTCACTGGTTTTCACCAGTTGCATCTTCCACAGTTTGTTAATACAAGTGATTGAAGTATTATATGCATATCTGTTCAGGTGAATTTTGCAAACTTCATTTTGGTATGGTGTTTTGATTTCTAAGTGTTTGACACATCTCAGTGAATCCATGCATTTCCACCAAAGCATATCTCACCAAAGTCTCTAATAACCAGACTGGTATAGCAGTAACATGATTTTTCATCTTCATAAATAACTAGATTTAATTACTTCGGTCGGTTGTGAGACAGTACATCATCAGCACTTACTGTACTAATGATATAAGCTGGACTGGCTTTCAGTGCATTGCTAAACTGTTGGAAATACTTGACATACATGAGCTTTAGGATACCTAGGTATCTTGCCATTCAGCAGTTATCTTATAAATATCCCAAGAAAATCTCAAAGCCATCTTTAACATTATAGCCATGTATTGTTCTTACTTAAATCCTGCATGGCTTCCTTCTCATGGCAAAAGACAAAATGCAAAAGACTTGTGCTTGGTGAATCTTTTGAATTAACTCCTCTGGCTGGCTGAACTCTCAGTAATAACATTATAGTTAGTCTATAGATTTTATTTGCACTTTGAGCCTCTGTAACCTCTTGTGCACTCTTCCCAGCGCAAGCCTATGAGGCGGCGGTATGAGTCTCCAGGGATGTATTCAGATGATGATGCCAACAGTGATGCATCCAGTGCTTGTTCTGAGCGCTCGTATGGCTCACGGAATGGTGGTATCCCGCACTACCTACGACAGACGGAGGATGTTGCAGAGGTGTTGAACCACTGTGCCAGCTCCAATTGGTCTGAGAGGAAGGAGGGTCTTCTGGGCCTGCAGAACTTGCTCAAAAGCCAACGTGTTCTTAGGTAAGCCTGGAGAAGCCTTAATGTCCACAGTAAAGGAAGTTCCAGGTGGTAATCTCTTGCTTTATTTATATGCCCAGTTAAACCTGTGTTCCTTTTTATATGTGAGATTACAGCCATGACATATAGTTATGTGAAGTTGGAGCTACTGTGCAAATTGCATAGGATAGTACTAATGGGACAGCACTAATTCCAGTGTTTGTCCATGTTCCAGCCGAGTGGAGCTGAAAAGATTATGTGAGATCTTCACCAGGATGTTTGCAGATCCTCACAGCAAGGTAACCTACAGGGAAGACTGCATGCTGCTTTCAGTTGTGTACTAATTTTGTCTGTTGCAAGTGAATTACCAATTCTGTTTGGTTTAAACACTTAAGAGATGATGGTGTAGAATTTTCATTAATAAATATAAACATGTTAAATAGCATGTCTTTCTCACACTACATATTTCTCATCATAGGTTTAGGGAACATTTCCAAAACATGTTGGTTTGTGACCACTAATGGAGTGTTTTTGTTATTTGCATGTTCTCCCTTGGTGTGGATATTTTAATATCAGAGAGTAAGTGAAGCTTGGTTTTTCACTGTTCCATTCAAAGATGTATTTAATCTCTATACTGTTGTATGCTGTGCCATATCATTCTTTTTTTTAGATTGCCAAACATTGATAAGTGACTAGAACCAGATTATTTGGATATCCATCCTTCAGCTACATGTTTTAAACTTTAAGTTCTTTGTCCATGATGGTAATAAATGGATTCTCTGTCTCAGGTGTTCAGCATGTTCCTGGAGACTCTAGTAGACTTCATCACTGTTCACAGAGAGGATCTGCAGGACTGGCTTTTTGTCCTTCTCACCCAGCTACTTAAGAAGATGGGAGCTGATCTCTTGGGCTCAGTTCAGGCTAAAGTGCAGAAAGCTCTGGATGTCACTCGGTTAGAAGATTCATTTTGTCTTCATTAACAGTTGTATGCAAAAGTTTTGGTCAAATAAAGTTTTGTTCATTTTCTGAATAAATGAAAATAAGCGCATATTCTGTACAGAGAACATAGCACCGCACATTTTAATGAATGTAACTGAAAATGCCATTTTTAAATTTGTTAAATTATTTTACATTAAACTATTTTCATTTGAAAAAGCAACAAAACATGCAGTTTGACATGGGATGTTCAAACTTTTGCATATACAACTGTACGTGCTACTTTGACTCTTTGTTTGCATTTTAATCTCTTCTTTCTGTCTTGCAGTGAGTCTTTCCCATTTGACCAGCAATTTAACATCCTTATGAGGTTCATTGTTGATCAAACTCAAACTCCCAATTTGAAGGTAAAAGCTATACTCAAGTCTTTCTTGTAGTACAGTATGCAGGTAATAAAGAATAATTATAAATTGTTTTGGCTTTGTATAGTAAATGCTCTTGTAAATGACAGGTGAAAGTGGCTATCCTGAAGTATATTGAGTCTTTGGCAAGGCAGATGGACCCTGCAGACTTTGTGAATTCTAGCGAGACAAGATTAGCTGTGTCCCGTATCATCACCTGGACCACAGAACCCAAAAGCTCTGATGTCAGAAAGGTATGTCACCACAGTGACCGATCACAGGTCATCAGTGTTCACTATAAGCGCAAGACATGGATGAAACCAAAAGCAATATTATGGTTGAACTTCATCTCAGTACTGCAAGATCTACACATTTCCCGTGTTAGCAGCCTAAGGCAGCCTAGAGTTGGCGATCAGTCTTTGTCATTGTCTTATACTGTTACACTGTCTGCCCTGCCGCTGTGGCCTAGACCCTTCATAACTGGGCGAGTGAGGACTTTTCAGGCAGGCCCAGCACTACAGCCCTGCTGCCTGGAGAGAGTAACCTGGAGGAAAGGTGCAAGCAGGTAGTGCCCTCCCACTGGTCTAACCGCCAACCAGCACGCACCACTGGCCTCTAACCACTGCAAGAGTGTGACATTTAAAACGTGACCTCTCTGTCTCTAACCTGCATATTACTGCCTCACCGAATAAATTCTCAACATCGCAGTTCTTACCCCTTTTGATAGAGGGGTTAATGATGCAAATAAGATTGACAGATCAGAAATGACATTCTAATTTTGTTGTCCTCTGTCTTTCTGATTTGTGGTAGTTGCAGAGCTGTGCAGAAAGCACACTGCACAACTGCTGTTTCTCTTTTCTCTTCTGCCTAACACATTTTGTTTGTTCTGACAAAATAACAGTGATTTAAACCACATGCATGTATAAGTGTAACAGCTAAAGATGTGTGATGTGAGATAAAACAGGTCTAAACTGTGTAAAATCACAAGATTATCAGAATTCAGAATTTGTACTTTGACACACAAGTCTTACATGTGAATTGTCTGTGTGATTAGTTCCTTGTCTGTATTACCTCTTGTAGTTTTCAGCTTCATCCATGAAGTTTTTCAGCATGCTTGGATTAGACTGTCAGATCTTTGATTTGCATTGCTGATGGACTGTGTTCTGTGTTGTGTAGGCTGCCCAGGTGGTGCTGATCTCTCTCTTTGAGCTGAACACGCCTGAGTTCACCATGCTCCTGGGAGCTCTGCCCAAGACATTTCAGGATGGAGCCACCAAGCTCCTTCACAGCCACCTGAAGAACTCCAGCAACACCAGTGGAGTGGTAAATGTCTGCCGCCCCTTGAGTGTTTTGCTTCTGTTGATGAGTCTCTGAAACCCTGTATAATTAGTTTAGACAGCACAAGAACTGTTCATTGAGGGCATTATGGAGGGGCTGAGAAGCCATACACAAGCCTAAGATTACCCTGCACAGTGCCAGGTGTTGACTGGAATGATGTAAAACACACCACCATTGGACTCTGGAGCTGAGGAGAAACATTCCCTGGAGTGTATTGTTTACCCAGTGCAAATATATTCAGTAAATCACTTCCTTCAAAGTTTTTGGCAACAGTTCGGATAAGGCCCTTTTCTGTCCCAGCATAACAATGTCCTTGTGCAAAAAGTGAGGTCCATAAGAGATTGATAGATTTGGATTGAGTTAAAACATTGACTGCGACTGCAAGCCAGGCCTGATCTCACATCATTCCCTGACCTCACTAATGCTCTTAAGGCTGAAGTGAATCCCTGCAGCCATGATCCAAAATCTAGTGTAAAGCCTTCCCAGTACTTTGCTGCATAGATAAGCAATCACCGATGCAAGAGTATGGAGTTTTGATGCAAAATTATGCAAAATTGTGAAAAATTGAAATGGAATTTGGTGATTAATGCTGACATAGCTCTGTATTAAATTCAGTTACTGTAAGTCACAGACTGCATTGATGCTTGCTTGTCTAGTTGTGTGTTTTGCTGAATTGACTACAGATTTTACTCTTGTTTTCTTCTAACATCACAGAGTTCCCCAAGCAGCACAATGGGGCGTACACAACCCAGGCACCCATCCAGCAGGACCAGCCCCCTCACTTCCCCCACAAACTGCTCCCACAGTGGTCTTTCACCCAGGTATAATGTCTTCTCCTCTCATTCTGACTTCACTACCCCACTAATGCATGATGACACTCTGGGCATGATAGTCTGGGGGGGGGGTGGTCTATTGCTTTCCTCAAGACGCCCTAAAAACCTGAAACTATTTTCTAGTTCTAAGTGAGGTTGCTCCGTACATTTAGAGTTACAGTCCAGTTTTATTGTGTTTTATTTACTAGTTTTATTTACTGTTCTAAAAGTAGGCAGCACACCTCACAGAACATAGATGGCAGTTTACAGGTTTCTGCATCATTCTAAACTCTCTTTAACTCATACTGCTAATCTCAACATTCCAACTAGCCTATTTTTCTCTCTTCCTGTTCTGCCCTCTACATCCCTTCTCTTCTCTTCTCTTCTCTTCGCTTCTCTTCTCTTTTCTTCCCTCCTCTTCTCTTCCCTCTTCTTCTCTTCTCTTCCCTCCTCTTCTCTTCTCTCCTCTTCCCTCCTCTACTTTCTTCTTCTCCTTTCTCCTCTCCTGTGTGTTTTGTGCCCCTCCTGCCCTGTTCTCTTCCTCTCTGGCTGTTCTTTGGGCACAGTCGATTGTGGGGTTGGAGTGTCGATGGGTTCTCAAAGCACCCAGCTCCCCCTCCTCCTCCGTCTCACCCCTCAGTCCCTGCCGCCCCCTCCCTCAGGGCCCTCCGCTGCGCACTGTCACCCAGGTAACTCAGCCGCTAGCCTATCACTGCGAGGAGGGGCGGCGCAGGTGCTAAGACCCCACTCACTCATGACAAACCCCATCAAGATATGACATCTGGCTTTTCAGTGAAACCTTTTTATATTGCAGAGTTTAAGCTTTCTAAATAACAGTAGAAGTGTGTTATATATGTAATGTCATCCTACTAATTGCCTAAACATTTTTATATATTGCATAACTTTCATATGTTGTGTGCTATCCACTTAAAGAGGTGCAGTTCATAAGCGTTTCGACAGTGACATTTTTTTTTTGTTTTTGCTTTGTTCTCCAGTACACTAGATTAATTGAAAGTATCTCTATGAAAGTAACATGCAGACTGTCGGGAGTCATCTTGTCATATTTAAAAGAGTGATTTTTGCTTGCCACTTGCTGTTTGCATCTCACATTTGATTGGAGGAACACTCAGTAACACAAATTTATTTCATTTCATTTTGCACTCTGCAAGACAGTAGAGAGCCACTGACTGTTTCTCAACCCTTAAGTGAAATGTGATACTTATACCTTTCTTTTCTTCCCTTCTCTTCTCCTGGACAGTATGTTGGAGTTTGACACAGAGAATATGAACTCTGATGAGATCTATAGTTCACTACGTGGTGTAACAGAAGCCATCCAGAGCTTTAGCTACCGCAGCCAAGAAGATCTCAATGAACCAATCAGACGTGAATGCAAGAAGGATGATGCGGTAGGTCCTCTTAAAAGTAATATCGTTAGGTCCAATATTTTTGTATCCCCTTTTTTCCCCTTGAACTATACCTAATGGATACACAGATGTCCAGAATAAGATAATGCAATAAAAAGGTTTGCTTGGATTCATTAGTATAACCTGTACTCCACTAATGTGAAAAAGGCAGCTTTTGCCTTTTACCCCTTGCCTATGTTGGGGTAGTGCTGGCAAGGCTGCTCACTTATAACAAAAGACAAATGTAAATTTTCACTGGTTCCTTGGTTACGCTGTATACATCTTTATTATTCAACAGGAAGATCTGTTCCATGCAGGGTGCACAGAGCAAAAGTAGTACTCCTCGCTGCATAGATAAGCTTTAACGGTAGTTTACTCCTCATGTGTCAAATAAAATGAAAGAGAAGCCTGCTTCTTTAAAATAATCAACCAATGAAAATATCTTGAAAGGAGACTTGGAAAGATCAAGATGGGAAGATTATTTTTCTTGGTCAGTGCTTTCAACCCTGATCTCCCTAACCTTGCTTAGTGTCTGCTACAAAATCCATTGTAAGCTGTTTCTTAGAAACTGCATGGAAAAGTCCAAATAAGCCCAAAAAGACAGTATCAACCAATACATAATGCTCTCAATCAACCACAGTGTAAAGTGGTTCACATATTTATTATTACTGAAAAGTTTGTAAGGGTGTCACAACAAAATATGTATAAAAAGTGTCTGATTTAATTCTTCCCATAACAAGTATTTTATGGGCACCAGTGCAAAGAAAATGGACCCTCCCATCAAAGAAAGTGACAGTAGAATATGCTTGCTTACTTGCTGTTGTTAGGCCTCAAGCACGTTCATGCTCTCAAAGAATGCAATTTCTTAATATTTCCAAAAGATTTTTGGGGCCCTGGTTTGATTGCCCCCTTGCCTCTCTGTAGTTACGCCACTGATTTTTCTATGGATTTTGCATTCCGTTGACAGCTCTGGTCAGACAAAATTTTTGTCTGTATGTATATTCAAGTACTTCTTCAGTAATTGCACTTTTTTCTTTCTCAACTTTCTCCCAGGTTGGCAGGGAAGCAGCATCTCCAGGCTCTGATTCTCGGTTAGGTTTGGATATAGTCGAAGGAGGCCGCACTGCCTTGGATAATAAGACGTCCCTGCTCAACACGCCCTCTCCTCGTGCTTTTGCTGGGCCAAGGACACGCGAGTTTGCACCGTATGGCTACGGAGACACCATCGGAGGTTACGATAAAAGTGCTCTGAAAGAGGCTGTGTTTGATGATGATGTGGACCAGTTCCGTGATTGTAAGTTTTTGTTCTGCCATTAATTTATTTCTGTCATGCTCACTTTGTCTGTCCCATATCACTTCATACTCGGGAGCTGTCACTGTCTTTGTTAGAGTGAGAAAACATAAAAAAGATAAGATAAACAGAACAAAAGTCATACATGGACATAAAATGAAAATACTCCTCAGTGCAGCTATCAGTGTTCTGCAGTAAAAGTGTTTTTCTACAAAAATGAACTTGCTAGGTCATAATACAAAGCACTTTGTGTGCTTGCAATTTAACCTTTATCTTTGCACTTTATTATGGTACTTAGTGGAGTTTGGGTTGTTTTGTGAACTCTGTAAAGGCTGTTGCAGTTTTGCCACAGATCAAACCAGCTCATTTACTTATTATGAGTAAAAAACGGCACTGGTTAATAAACAGTTACTTCAGTTGCTATAAGGCCCATAATGTAGTATGTGCAACTTAAAATACAGGGTAACTAATTGTGAGGAAATCATTTAAGCTATCTTATTATAAGTAAATGAAATTATTAATATTAATTTACATCATTTATACATTTTTTTCTTCCTTCCTTTCTAAGGAAGTTAGTTTGAAGCTAGGTAAGTTAAGAAACAAGATGCCTAAAGAAACAGTGGCCATAGTTAGTGTAGCATCCAGAATCCATTGTTCCAACTGTTTTATACAGAGACTGGAGGCTATAGGAATAAAAAGAGAAGATAAATAAAGAATAGGTGCTTCTTGTAAAAAGCAGCAGCATACCAGGTGTAAAGTTATAAACTGGTTATGTTTGGTTGCTCTTTTATTTTAATTGTCAGAGTGGACGTGGTGTTAAACATGAGCATAGCGAGTCAGTGCTATTCTGCTACTGCTAACCTAGCCAACGATGTAGCAGGTAAGACAGGTGTGTTGAATTCTAAGGGGTTGTGAAAATTGGATTAAAAAGTCATAGTTTTAAATGAGTATGAAAAACAGTAGTATTTCCGCTACCCCCTCCATCTCTCTGGATTACAGCATCATAGTATATAGTGTGCACACTTTATGGAGGAAGAAGGGAGTAGGGGAGAATTGAGGGAGGGTCTTGGCTTTCACCGAGTGTTTGTCATCACATCCCCTGCTATGCTCCCTCCTCCTCTCCTTCCCCCTCTACAGGCCGTCGGCAGGAGTGTGGTGAAAACAAGATGGTGCTCCACAAGGGCTTTGCTCCTGGTAAAGGCCTGCACAGTAGAATACGAGAATTGCTGCATTTTGCAAACATTTGGGCATTTGTGTTTCCTCCCCTTTCAGTCCAGTTCATTTCAATGTTTCCCATTTAACCCGTCTCATCTTAAGTGGCATGGCTGCTTCTGTGCTGACAATGCTATAAAGATCTTTCATGCTTGAATCACTAATGAAGTGCAGTAACTTAAAACTGTACAATTTTTGTTTGTACGTTTTTTAAACTGTATTAACATTAAGTTTTTTTCCAGTCTTTGTCATTGCTTCTTGCCATGGATGAAAACTAACAAAGCTTTAACTTAGATTATTGTCTACATAGAAGTTGCAGTACAAGACCGTGTACATAACAAACTAACAGAATTTTAATAGAACACTAGCTCTTATGTTTTGGCTCTGTTAACTTTAGTGTCACCTTAGTCTAGAATAGAAGTGTTTCTGTGACAATGCTACAGTTAGCCCAGTGACTAATTGAGGTAGAATATTTTACCTGATTTATGCTTTACTCTGACTAAAGTTCCTCTGAACCACTTAGATCTGGTGGCAGACCTGTTGAAAGAGCTGTCCAACCACAACGAGCGAGTGGAAGAGAGAAAAGGGGCTCTAGTGGAGCTACTGAAGATCACACGGGAGGACAGCATGGCTGTGTGGGATGAACACTTCAAAACCATCCTGTTGCTGTTGCTAGAGACACTTGGAGACAAAGATGTGAGTTTTAAAAATGGCCAATTGCACTTGCCACTGACATGGTAACTGCTGAATATCTGTAAAAGTCACACACAATTTTAGTCTCACTATCACTTCATATGTGAAAACTGTGTGTCACTTTGCGTTTTCTCTTACAGCACACCATCCGGGCTCTGGCTCTGCGTGTCCTAAAGGAGATCCTAAGGAGTCAGCCGGCCCGCTTTAAGAACTATGCAGAACTCACAATCATGAAGACACTAGAAGCTCACAAAGACTCTCACAAGGAGGTTAAAAACATGTTTCTTTAATGTTCCTTTTAGCATTAACTGTGCAGTACATATTCTTACATGTCAATGGGCTGTTCTGCATATTGATTTCTCGGGTCACCTTCACCAGTTATGTCAAACAAACCTGTCTTATTTGAATCCCTTCAATACTTCATCAGTTTCTAAATATTGTTCTTAAAAAGGCTAAACCGCTTTTGTGGTAGAAGATATGCCCAAGCGCAAGACCATGTAGACATTTTCCAAGAAACACAGTAACCCCTCATTCATAGAGCCTACGTATGATTCAGGGACATTACCCTGTTTTTTCACAGGATTGAAAAACAGTGAGCCAATTGGTCTCTCTAATCCCAGAGAAAATCCAACATCTGCACCTGTGGAAACAGAACACCTTGGTTACAGCTTAATCCCAAGCAGCCCACCCCTAGCACAGATCAATGAATGAATAAATGAAGCATAAGACACCCACGTCTGCAAGGAAAAGCTTTAGTTCACACTCACTTTTTTCTGCTCACACTGTCAGAAAAAAGAGGTATTGTGCAGCTACATTTTGCAGTCATCAAGGTACAAACATCCCTCAAAGGGACAACAGTGGATTTAATGTCCACCTTAAATAGGTGTACCTTAAATATTTTTTTCCCCAGGAGAAAAAGTACATATTTGTATCTTTTCATAACTTGATGTTTTAAAACAGAACAATAAAATAAAAAGCCTGTTGACAAGAAAGGTTGTGTGGAGTCAGTATAACTTAAAGGCCCAGCACAGTATTTTTCCTCCTTTCTGAAAATGTTACATTAGCAGCAAGCGTGTGAATTTATTCATACTTCTGCTTCAGTCCAACATTTATTGGGCACTGCAGAGTGCATGAAATGACCTCTGAATTTTTCTTTTTTTACAGATAACACATTGACTACAGTGACTCATAATCTACCTTATATTGCATGTGCAGGCTAACATTAGCTAATTGTGTTATCTAATTTAGCTTTCTAACCCTACATTAATGTTAGCCAACGTTGGATAACATTAACGTTATCTGAGACCAATAACTTTTTCTAATTTCTTCCGTTTTCTGTAGGGCACCTGCACCCCCTGACTTTTCAAAAAAAAGGAAAGGGAGAGATAACATGCCGGTATAATGTTAGTCCAGCTCATAGTCAGATCATGTTGGAGTTACAAATTCGCAGCTAATAATATGAGGCTGAAGTTTGCTTCATATTTGCCAGCTAATTTTCCCATTTCACCTTAAATGGCGTAGCAGTTATTATAATACCTGCTGCACCATTTAAGGTGGAACGGGAAAATTAGAGCAGGAACTGGTGATTTAGAAGTTAAATTCAGCTTTGTGTTAACACGTAGTTGAAATGAAAAACCTTCGCTTAACTAACAAACAAATATGTAAGGTGTAGGCACCTCAGTATGACACAGGCTGGAAATAGGATCACATCAACACAGCTTCACTTGTCTGAACGTTAAGAAGGAGATTCTGAGCAAGAACCTGAAAATCGCAGTCTTGCAGCAGCTTCTCTGTGGTACTGTTTATGGTCAGATTTCAATTTAATATAGTTTTTGGGAAAAATTAGAAGGTAACTGAAATAGATAAAATTATTTGCTGAAATATTTTTCAGATTTTCAAAAAGCGGTGCAGGGCCTTTAAATTATATAGTTTCTATTGAATATGGTGCAGTTATGTTCTCTAATTAAAGATACTGAAGAATGTTTTACCTGCAGTTTTCTTTGCTGAGTTGCACATCATTGTTAGCTTAAACTGGTCACTTACTTTGTGAGTAATTTCTGTGAATAAAAGAATAGATAGCTTTGTAATTTATATCAGTAATGGTTTTGGACAAAAAATACTGGATTATATAAATGGGAGGTCCAGCAAGGTTCCAACACATCACATTTGTAACAAAACTATTTCCTCTGACTTCAGTGTGATTATGGATGTTATGGTAATGATAAAAATACAGAGGAATGTTATCCACTGCCCTTTTCCTGACTGGCAGACTTCTAGTGTTTTTGGTAAACTATGCAGGTGAGAAACATTGTCACCCCTGCAAGCACAATAAGGAACCAGATTTTTTAAAAATCTTTTAATACTTTTTAATACTTTTTAATAACCTTTTAATACTTTTGTTTCCTTGTTACCTTCAGTATTGCCTTTTTGAACTGTCAGTGTTATATACATATATTATTTGTGTACAGGGATTAAAGAATTTTGTAAAGGAAGGCTTTGATGTTTGTTGTTGACGTTTAATGCAGCAGAACTTGAATGCATTCTCTTTTTTCTGCTTTACACACAGGTTGTAAGGGCTGCTGAAGAGTCTGCCTCCACCCTAGCTGGTTCCATCCATCCAGAACAGTGCATCAAGGTTCTGTGTCCGATTGTACAGACCGCAGACTACCCCATCAACTTGGCGGCTATCAAAATGCAAACTAAAGTCATCGAACGCATAGCCAAGGAATCCCTCCATCAACTGCTGCCAGACATAATTCCTGGACTCTTACAAGTGGGTGCCTTATGTTTTTTATTAGCTAACATATTATTTTTTAAGATAAATAAACATAAATGTATTAATAAACCTATTAATTTCCAGTGAAAGGACCAGTAGAAATGCATATATATATAATGTTTTGTTTTGTTTGTTTTTTTTTTTTTTCCTTTTGTTTTGGGACAGAAACTGTATAATTTTACAGATAAAAAATGGGTCGAAAATATTTTTTTTCTTTGTATCATATTACTATTATTCAATTCAACTTTAAATGATCAGTTTTCATATTCAGCAAGTACCTTTCATGGTCAATACAGAACAAAATCCTCATCCATTAATGTTATTGGAGCCACAGCTTTCTAGGTAATTGACCTTTGGCAAAGCTGGCAGAGAAAAAGAGGTCAGTATTTGTTGTATTAGCATAGTCTAAAATGGGAACACTCTGTCTTATTTGTACCTTATTTGTTCTTTACTCATGTACCACACTGCCATCAGTCCCTTTGCTATCCTTTGACCCTTATGTGTGCATGACATGAGTGCTTCTCTGTCAGTCACACTCTCCTCTCTGTCTGCCCGCAGGGCTACGACAACACCGAGAGCAGTGTTCGCAAGGCCAGTGTGTTCTGCCTGGTGGCCATCTACTCTGTGATCGGTGAGGAGCTCAAGCCCCACCTGGCACAGCTGACGGGCAGTAAGGTACAGTCTCATGCTTACTAGCTCAAAGTTCTCTGCCCCTCTCCACTCAGTTCAACCCCTTTATCATTCTCCCCTTTGTTTATTTGCTTCCCTTTTATTGCTGTCTCTTCCAAGTATTGGAGCAGCAGTTATATTTATCTCAATTTCAAGTAATTTGTCCTTGAATTGCTTTACACTGGTGTGGAGGGAGCATTTTTAGCCTGACCTCTGGAGACCGTGACTTGGTTGATCATCTATTGGCATGAAACATTGCCTCAAGTTAACTTGAGTTAGTTAAAGCTGCTCCAAAACAAGTTCTAAGTAGTCACTCAAATAAAGTCATGTAAAGTCATGGAAACAAAGCTCAGAAATCTTTGAAATTTTTGATATTCTAACAGTGCGGCCAAAGAAGGTAAAAAGACTTGCTAAGTTAAATGGGGAAAAATACCAGGGGCCACATTTGTTAAAGATGGTTATGCATGGATTTGATCCTAAAATAGTCACATGTGAAAATTAATGTTTAAAGTAGTGATTTGTAAAATTAAATTTTGATTTGAAAAGTGCATAAATTGACGTGTTTCCAATCTGACGTACACATTTTTGGCAGTCAGTCCCTAATACAGGATCAGTTTGACATGAGGGCAAAACTAACTTAACCCATTCACTGGATTTACCTAATAAGAAATCAAGCCTATCAAACCACGCATATATTCAATCACATGGACTTTTCCTCCAGTGATCTAGATCTATTTTCTTGTTGGATTGGGATTAAGTTTAAAATCAAATAAGGATCAAATACTTACATTTGTCACAAAACATGAACTAAATTGAGACCGTAGCATGCAGCTGTATCAGAAGCTCTGTTTGCCCCTCCACCGTGCCTGCTGTGCCTACCAGTGTGCAGAGCGTGTGTGATCGGTGAACACATGCTTCTCTTAGATATATGATAAGTATGATGTTTCCACTGTAGATTATGCAAAATAAAAATAGTTTAAATAAAATTTGATTTACACAGATACATTTTTTTTTTCTTTCAAACGTTATAGGCAACTAGGCTGCACAACAAATACTATTAATTCATTCATTTTTTGTTAAACCAGTGACTCTGTGGAAGAAAACACACAATCTTTTCTCACGTTCTTAGCATTTATTGCAGGAAACAATCAGACGCCAGTCAATTAAAAGATTGGTGGGGTTGTAAAGCTCATTTACGTGCCCTCATTTCTACGACCATTTGTTTGACTGTTTATTTATAAATCAGAGTTGCATGCATCCATTTAAGCATACACTGATTTTTATAAATCATTCACACACAAATTATGAGAACTGAATTTAGTATAAAATTAAGGTTTGTTTTATAAGTAAAGCCCCCAGATGCCTTAATCTGGTAACTCCTGAGTGTTGTAATACATCCAACCTAATGAAACATATAACACACTAAATGCATCTCCATCAAGAACACTGCAGAGTATTTCTCAGTATGAGTAGCCCTGTTACTGTGAGGATACATGAGTAGCAGTTAGTTTTCTGGCTAGCTTTCTTACTTTTTCAGGACAAAAAAAAAAAGAAAGAAAATCCAGTGTTCTCTTATTTTGTCAGTTTTAAACCTGGTTTGTTGAATGGTATATTCATCTACGTAGAGTCTAGAGACTTTGAATACTCTGAAAAATACTCCATTTGAAATGTTCTGATAAGAACTGAAAGTCCTACCTTGCCATCAATATTGATGGATTTTCGGAAAAACTCAAGTTTTGTCAATATCCATTAAAATATGAGATGTTTCCATAGTATTGAAACAACAGCCATTTAGCCAGTTTGATTTTCAGTTGACAAGCTAGCTAGATAGTTTCTTATCTTTCTCTACATATGTTTTATTACTGTATATTTATTATACTATTTGTATTTGTGACCCCCATTTTAGGGGACACTAAATAGTGGCATAATAGCAGAGTGGTGGCTTCACTGGTTATATGCTTACAGTTTCTCTAAGCACACAAAAATGTGTACAATGAAAAATCGTGTGCTATTTAAATCAACAGTGTTCTCCAAGATTATATAATCAAAGAGAATATCGTGTCCTTCTTTCAAGGTGTCAGTTAACTTGAGAAGCAAGTGAGTTCTCAATGTTTTTGTTCTCTCAGCTAAAGATGAAAGATCAATAGTTTGCACTGACCTGTTGTTTTAGGCCAGTGTAACCTATTGATGAAGTTTACTATTATTTTGTGAGCAGAGATTTCTCCTAAATTTATAGGTCATGTTTTTTTTTATCCAAATTAACCTATTTTCTAGTCGTTTATTAATTCTCAAAAAGCTGAAGGAGAATCAAAAATAGACCTTGTGACAGTAATAATCTAAAACAAATCCAGATCAGAATGACTCGAGTGGAATGTTGGACCAGCAAGTCAAAAGCGCTTGAAGCTAACATTATAGGTAGGTGAGCCAAAAACTCACCTATGAAATAAATAGTATTTCTGGTCATTTGTTTCAGTTAAGAACTAAAGTTTTCAACATTAGTACTTGTTAAGTAATTTTATTCATCATTAGTTTATTAATTTATTCATCATTAATTCTTATACATCCTAAGAACAACCAACACAGTTTTGGAAACGGTTTATAAAAATATTAGCTAAATAATTTGCTCAGTTTGCTAACATTTTCATCAAACCTAGTCGCTGCATTTCACTGTCATTGTGGTCATGTTTCACAATAATGCTGGATGTTCTGTCCACAGATGAAGCTGCTGAACCTGTACATCAAAAGAGCCCAGACCACCAACAGCAACAGCAGCAGCTCCTCTGATGTGTCGTCCCACAGCTAACCCGATTTTAGAGGACATGCTCATCAGTGCCCTGCAGTCACCAGTGGGAACTTAGTTGTGCCTCCTTCAGACCTCTTTGTTCCTCTTTATTCTCTTGTTGTCTTCCTGGATATTTCCAGGGAAGACATTTTGCCCAATTTGATTTTTGTTTCCTTTATTTCTTTTCTGAATGTAAAGAAAGTGTGAACTGAGAAAGAGAAATGTTTTTCTTTTCCAGTGTGTTATTAGGGATCAGATCCTCCTTGACTGGCATCACCTTTTAGGTTATTGTTTTTTTTTTGTTGTTGTTTTTGAAGCATTGACTTTCTTCATCTCTGAAGAAATGATTTAAGACTTGATATTTAAAGTTAATAATGTGGTCTTTTTTCAAATCTATAGTGTTTGCAATACTTACATTGTTGTTTGTTGCTTAATGGAGTTTTACAAGAGCATTTGGGGCGTTTTAAATAGGGAACAGTTGTGTAGGTTGAGTACGTCACTTGAATCTCAGTTAGTGGTAGAGGATCATTTGGCTGGCCGAGTGATTTAAATGTGATCATAAACAAGGATATAGAGTTGTTTTAAGGTTAAGGCAAAATGACAACCAAAAAATGTAAGACTAAATGTAGAAATTTATTTGTATCAAAATGACATGCCACCAGATCTGCACACCTTACAACACAGAAAATATTGTGGAGAAACTTTTATCTTTGAATTTTATGCTTTATGTTCATCATTGAAGGCTGTGGAGTCTAAAGGCTGTTTAAAGTCTGTGGATTTGAATTATTTTGAGTTGCTTTTCTTTATAAAGATATGAAATAGCTTTTTAGTTTTTATGGTAAATTATGCCCAGATGTAGTGGTACAAAACCACACGTGAGAACAAGGACAAGCTACTGGATGAAGTATGTTCCTAATAGAGCCATCCCAGGATTTTGCATATCCATTCACAAAATTCAGCACAAATTTTCTGCAGTCAGTGGCTCACGATATGTCATAGCAGTTGAATACTAGCCACTATTACCGCGGCTAATGTCCAGTCAAGTAGTGAATGTGTTCGTGTGGAAAAATAGCAAATTTCATCAGTAAAATGATGCTGTTTTTAATTTCCTCGAAAATCACAAGAGCCATGTTAAACTATTTAATCACACTGAAAACTTCATATGACATCCTTTATGTCTAGAAGTGAAGCAAATGCAATCAAAGGACTGATGTTCTGACCTGCTGAGATCTGTTACATTGGTACATTCACATTTTGCTAACAGCAGATATCCAAAATACTAGTTTTAGTGTATATATTCAACTTGAATCAATTTCTACAAAATAATAATGAAAGCCACAGTGTAAAGAGCATCACAGAATCCTGGGTGGAACTATATTACATGAACAGAGATATTAAAAGAAGCCCTCTTTGTTTTGAAAAAATAAAAAGACAATCTGAAATCTAGATCAGTGAAAAAGATGTAAAGTTGTAGTGATGGAAAAAAGAATTTACGGGGTGTTACAAAAATCAAATTCATTTCAGGCACAAAAGTTCACAGGTGCTTCACTTTGCATTGGAAGAAATGAGCGAAACTTGACAAGCAGGGAAGCAAACCTGAAACTCTGAAACTTCTGCTCTCAGTCTGTATGTCCCTGAATCACAGTGCCACTGAATCCTAAACCAAGTCCAGAACTCTAAAATCTGTAATGATCCTGCTGCTTACAATAAAGCTTTGCGTAAATACATAGACTCTGTTGAACATCCTACAATTGACAGTGGTTTTGAGGGACACGTGGATAGTGACAGAAATGTCGAACACTACCATGCCTTATATTCTCTTTTCTCATAGTATGTTTTGACCACTACGATGGTTGCTAACGAGCGTGCACTCTGACTGAAATGTGAAAATGCGCTGTAGACGCAGTGCATGTGTCCATGGCGCCACGAAGTCCCTTGAAATTGGCTCTCAAAGAAATGAACTTTAAATACCGTGTTACATTGTCGACTGTCTAAACTTTTCACCTTTCCTTCTGCAGCTTTTGCTGTCAGATGCTTTTTTTTGTACATAAATTTCCACCGTTGCTTTGCAGTTGTCACAAAGAAGAGCAAAAATATTTGGGTTTTGCACTCTTTTGCACGTTAGCAAGTAGCCTGCATGTTTTGGAACTTGACCATCTTGCGGTGCAGTGACTGGCCTTGTTGCTGTTTCAGAGAACTTGCCTCCTGAGAAGCGTGGTCAGTCTGTAAATACAGTATTATTCTTTTCCCCACGAGAGGAGGCAGCTGAGCACAGAAATTTTAACAGGGCTTAACCAGTCGACCAAAACTTCATCCATCTGTTTCTCCATAAACAAAACCGTTGTACAATTTGAGGGCAGGTGCTGAAGGCATCCTAGTTTCCATGTAGTACTACATTTTGGGGCATGTGGCTTTTACAAAGGTACACTACGTGTGCGTGCCTTGGTAGTATGCAGCTTTTCTTTGTCAAGTGGCCATGAACTGATTCCAACCATGGACCATGCAAGACTCTTTAATATTGTTTGAACTGGGGCCAATAGTAAAAGGAGCCAACTATGAGGTTTAACACTGCAAGTATTAGCTTTAAGTCCTTCTTGATAATCTGTGGAAATGTGGGGGCCACAAAAAAGTATTCCAGTTGTTCTCTGTGTGTTATAACTTTGTTTTGTCATTTACCGCTCATATCTGTATTTATACATTTATTTTCTTTTATCACGACAGCTGTACAGTTGTTTGTTTTTTTTGTTTTTTTTTTCCTCCTTTCTTTTTAAGGGCCACCTGTGATAGATTTGCAACCTAAGTCTGTTTGCCCTAGAAATAAACCAACCTGAAAGTTTATTAATTGATTTGTTGCTTCATTATGCTACCACTGAAATTGATGAGTGTTGAGTGACAGGTGCATAGAGTGCATTTCCATCTTTAATCTGTTGGCTTTTCTATTTACTACAGGTGTCAGATATTTAGATCTGATCAACATTTAAAGCGATATTTGATGTGGTTATTGTTTTCTGGAAGGGCTGAATGTTTAGGGGACACTAGGTGAAAATGTCTGCATTTTTTTCATTTTACTGCATTTGTCTCTCTGTATAAATATTATATTACTCTGTAATGCTAATTCAAGCAGACATCATTTCTGCACTTCATAGATGTTTACATATTGGCAGCAGCAGATATTGTACATGGAGGATATTGAATATCAGAATCCCTACAAAAAATGTCCCTACCTGTGGACAGCTGGTCTACAGTGGATGCAACAAACATTTCTGCTACAAACCTGTTTGTTTAAAACTGAAAGAGCAAACATTTTTTTATGGGGTTAAGATCAAGGTTAGGGTAAGGTTTAGGAAAAGGCTTAGAGAATTTGTATTACATATAGCTAGTTATACAGTACTGAGCATTTTGTTTGTAAAAACACAAAATTCATTCAGATTAACTTAAATGCAGGTTAATTTCCTAAAGGATGGATTAGCCAAAACAGGTAAAGGATGCTAACTACAAATATTGCTGGGCTGCCATAAGAAGTCTGGTTCAAAGAAAGCATTGAGATACATAAAATCACTGCTCATTAATACTTATTGTGTTAATGCAATTTGTATTTATTCCAATAGTGTTATCAGATGACTCTGTATGGATCACTCTACCAAAATGGCTCGAAGTCAACACTCAGAACATATTTTGACCTTATTTAATAACATGGCTTAATTCAGTTTATTCAAATAAATAATTAAACACTGTTCTGTTAGTGATAGTGTAAATGCAATGATTACAGTACTGAAACTTCACCAAATGTTTCTGTAGTGACTGTTTCAGTAGTGCCAATTTTACTTGATTTTGAGCATAACTCAAAAATGCTAGCCAGTACATGACCAGCAAACACAGCTTTAAACATACACATATAAAATCATATTTTCAGTAAAACAAAGTTTATTTAATTACAGAAATTATGTGTTTAGATTAGACAGAGTGAATATTTTGTTACACACTGATTTTCAGACTCTGGGACACCTTTACTTCAAAACAACAAAATCTATCTGCTCACTATGTGACCATGAGGGGCTGAAGTCTCATTTCCTGCTCTGAAATGCAGTAATGTGGCTAAAATAAGGCTCCAGCTATCGACTAAAACTCTGCATATGTTTTGGTAGTGGCATGAAAATACAGGACAGTTGTTTTTAAAAGAACTTTTGATTTAAAGATTAATCTCATGAGAAATGTATATCTACTGCTTCACTTTAAAATAAATCTTAAAAGTCTTAAAAAGAGAAAAGCATATACAGGAAAAAGAAGTTGCATAAGTAATTGAAATTTAGGGGTTAGGGTTTGGGACAGTCACCTCTCAACAGTGAAGTACGCTATAAAAGATGATTTTATATATGCAACTCCGTTTTCAAGAAAGTTGGGACGCTGTGCAAGATGTAAATAAAAACACTGCAGATCATTCAAACCTTATATTTATTTTGATAACAGCATAAAGACAATCTGTCAAATGTTGAAACAGATTTTTTTTATTTATTTATTTTTAAATGTATGCCAATTTTGAATGTAATGCCAGCAACATGTTGGGACAGGGGCATGTTAGCGCTGCGTTGCATGTTTTGAAAGTAAAATGTTTTCTCATTCTTGCTTGATATAGGATTTCAGCTGCTCAGCAATTCGGGGTCTCCTTTGTCCTATGTTTCATTTCATACAGTGCCAAATGTTTTCAATGGGTGACGAGTCTGGGCTGTATGGTAGAGGTTTAACTTGCATTTGTAGATGCAGTGACAAACTGTGTTCACCTGCAGTAGTTATCAGAAGTGTTTCTGAGCCCATGCAGTGATTTCCTTTACAGAATCATGTCTGTTTTTAAAGCAGCCTGAGGGCTCGAAGATCACAGCCAGACCAAAAAAAAAAAAATTAGTTTTTTTTGTTGCCCCTGTCTCAACTTTAAAAATTTCTCAGTTTTAACATTTGATAAGTTGTCTTTCTACTGTTAAATATAGGGTTTAAATGATTTGCACATCATTGCATTGTTTTTATTTACATTTTGCACAGCGGCCCGACTTTTGTGGAAATGGTTGTATTTAGCTTATTACTCTCTCAATTAATGGTAAAGCCTTTAGGTAGATCATTACATAATACCTGTAAATATCTAACGTCTGAATACATCTGAACAATTCAATTGTTTTTTTGTTTGTTTGTTTGTTTTTAATATATTTTACAGTAGGACTGCAGTTTGAGCTAAATGGTCCGTATATAACACATATGAGTATGTGTTACACTACATACGACATTGTATAAAAACAAGTAATGGTGAGGTGTTTGTTTGTGTGTGTGTGTGTGTGTGTGTGTGTGTGTGTGTGTGTGTTGGGGGATGTACTCTTCGGTTTAATGATTAACAGAAGGAAACTTTGCCTCATCCTAGCCATGTTAGATTTGTGTAGGTTTCTTTGTAGTGAGCGCAGCACTAATGTTGACCAAAAACCATCATGGGCAGTATGTGTCTTTACTGTTAGTAAGTAAATAGATGGGAGCTGGTGCTGTGGTTGCACCAGGACTTTTAAGCTGTGGGAGAATAATCTGGTGTTGAACTGGGCTGGTGGAAAGCGTTGATGATGTAAACAGCAGGCTCTCTCAAAGGTCGCCCGAGGCATGCTAATAAGCTGCTTGTCCTGCAGGGATAAAAAGGGCTGAGGAGCTTCAGTCAGTGGGGAAAACATCACCTTTACTGTGGGCAGGAGAAAAGCTGGACATAATGCTCTTCTGGCACTCTCAACCAGAAACATATGAGCAAAGGACACAGGCCAGTTCTATACGGTAAGGACGGGCAGCATCATTCAAATAAGCTTAGAAGAGACAATGTCTGTCTGTTTTGTGAACTCTAAATGCAGTTGTGTCTCTGTTTGAAATGATTTACACATGTTGACACTCTTGCACTTTGGAGCTGCTTAACAGAGTAGGATGCGTTCAACTTCACATCTTTTTATAGATCCAATTTTAAACATTTGATCAAAGTTTACTGAGAACTATCAAGTGAAGAACTGCTCAGTGCTTCACAGGTATAGTGACTCAAGAAAATGACAGATAACTCATTTTTTCTTCTTCATTACTGCCTCTGTATTAGATCTCCAGCATATGATGTCATTTATAATCCATTTTAGAGGAGCAACCAGCACAATTCTCATAATCTACTCACATGTTGAGTAATGACATTTTGTCCTCTGCTTCTGGTTTACTCTGTTTCCATGCTCTTTAGAGAAGCACTAGCGCCCTTCATGAAGCATGAGACCGAGGGGCCATCTGCTGAAAACACGACTCCCTTGGCCCCCTTTCAGTATGTTCTCTGTGCAGCCACATCCCCTGCAGCCAAACTTCAAGATGAAACGCTCACCTACCTAAACCAAGGTATCTACTGTTATCTACATAGAGGTACTTAGAGGAAAGATTTATGCACGCTTCATTGATCATTTTGACCTGGTCTGATATTCAGACTCCTATATCTCTGTGTTTCAACATTACAAGGACTGCTTTGTATACAGTAGTTATTGCTGTTGATGGATTCTGTATTCTCAGTATTTGCAGAAAAGGCTGTTTTTCTGTAGATTGTTATACAGAGATAAAATGTAGCTGAGAAAGGAAGCTAACAGGGTTGTGTGCATGTCTTGATTGAAGGCTAGATTTATACTTGAACGACCTGGAGATTATTAGCTTTTCTAATGATTAATTTAGTATAAAATAAATAAATAAATAAATAAATAAATAAAGACCACCTCATAGTGATTCACTGTTAAAACTAAACTTGCTCTAAAATTTTAATGACTGTTAATTTGATTACATAGTAATATTTAATTTGGTTATGTATTTTTATTGTGAGTGAAAATGTTTTGTTTATTGAATGCAGATATATGTGGGCTGTGTGAATTCATCTTGTCCCCTGTCATGCGAAGGTTTAAAATCAAGGGCAGCAACACATCTGTTCTGGTACATGATTTAATAAATGCAGTTACTGTGTGATTTTATCAAAACTTAAGACATCATCACATCAAAGTTAGCAAACACCGATTTAAGCATTTGCTGAGTTCCTCTTCTACTTCTGCTGTCTCTGTACAGTTCACTTTTCTTTTAAATATCCTGGTGTCAAGTGTAAAAGTGTGCTTTGATTTATTCTGCTCTACGTTTGCCTAATTTTCCATGAGAAGTAAAATTTTTGCGTTAACCCCAATGTTTTGTTGAGTTTGTTAAAACATTCTTATTGGTGTATAATTTTCTGTAGAGGACTTCAAACATCAAGTGGAAATCATGTTTATTAGCAGTCCTCAGAAAGTGAGGAACAGTACTTGTGCATGTTTGTGATCTTGTGCAGGACTGCAAACATCATAAGAAGGTTAAATGCAAAATAAATAAATAAATGCAAACTTTTTTTAACTTTGTCTCAAAACCGTTCATATGACCACAATTAGGGGGACAAATATCCAGACACTTGTTTGTTATTTAATATATTTCCAGTACATGTATATATATATATATATATATATATATATATATATATATATATATATATATATATATACATACACACACACACACACACACACACACACACACACACATATATATATATCAGGGAGCCTCGCAGTAAAGTTAACAGTAGGAGCCAAGAGCCTTAGCACTGTAATATATATATATATATATATATATATATATATATCAGTGCTAAGGCTCTTGGCTCCTACTGTTAACTTTACTGCGAGGCTCCCTGAAGCTTGCAACTATAACACACAGCCCCACCTTTCAGAATAAAAGTCTGTGCAGAATATACTGTAATTACCAAATGTCTCTGCAACAGTAATAATGATATTCATGTTTGTCTGTTTAATACATGCTTACATGAGTATAAAGTCAAAGGTAAACTTGATTTGGAAACATGCACTGGATGTGTATTAAATTACAAAAACAAACGTGTTATCCCTCACTCTATTGTTCTGCTAAGTAATATTATTATCGATTATTCACATAAACAGTATAATTCATTAATTAATAGTTGTGTTTAATGAGTAATAGCAGGGTCACTACTAATCACTGTTCATTCTAATAATGAAATGGTTTATGATCACTTTTTTGCCACAGTTTTTAGAAAGGGTGATCTTATTAGATGTGGGAAAAGCAAAGGTAAATTGTTTAAAGACTAAATTAACTCACTATAAATTTCTTTTTGTTCTTATGTTTCTGACTGGATGAATGAACATTTGATTGTAATCAGGTTTGTTTTAATGTAGGTCAGTCCTATGAAATCCGTATGCTTAACAGAAAACTAAGGGCGTATTCACATATAAGCAGCAAATGTGTAAAGGTAGGTAAAAGGCATTGTATATTTGTATATATGTTATTTCTCTTGTGACCTGATATGACCTGTTGTCTTTGTCTGTGTGTATTCATCTCTTTGTCGGTACAGGCTGCTTAACCTCCTCTCCACTTTGGAGGTTGAGTGCCATCATTGAAGACTTTGGTAGTATCACTACATCTTGAACCTCGTGCTTTTTGTTATTCTTTTACAATCTAATTATAATGTTTTAAACATTTACCTAAGAAGAGTTACAGTACAGATAGATCAGAACAATATGCCATCTGATGTGCTATATAAGTGTTTCTCAAGTCTGGTCCTGGAGGCTTACTGCCCTGCACATTTTAGTGCTTTTCCTACTTTACCACACCCACTTTAACTCAATAATGGGCTGTTAATGAGCTGATTCGTTGGATCAGGTGTGTTGGGAGGATGGAAAATGCTAAAAAGTGCAGGACAGTGGCCCTCCAGGACAAGGGTTAAGAAACAGTGGTACATAACCTTTGTTTGTATATAATGTAATGTTATGATATGTTTTGTAATACAGCTAGAGGATGATGCAGTTGCTTTTTCAGCCTTCATGAATCTGCAGTTAGGTTTTGGGAAAACAAATCTAGTTTGTACTGTGAGAAAAGACCAAGCAGCAAAATGTTATGAGAACTGTAGGAGTGTTTCTTCTTACCCATCTTTGGTCAGCCTATGTATTCAGCAAGTAGCATTGTACCTTCAGTGTTCTTGGGTTTTAATCATGCACACATTTGAATGTTAAAAGATTTTTTTTTTAAGTTGGCAATTTTATGATTTGTATTTTAAACTAGAAGTGAAATCATTACTTTCACCACTCTGTGAAAGATTCCTCAGGCAAACAGTGCAACAGTTCAAGAATAAAGTTTCTCAACATAAAATAGCAAAGAACTTTTGCTTTTCATCATCTACAGTACATAAAAACAATTAAAAGATTCAGATAATCTGGAGAAATCTCTGTATGCAAGGGACAAGACCAAAAACCACTATTGGCTGTTCATGATCTTTGGGCCCTCAGGGCACTGCATTAAAAATAGACATGAGTCTGTAGTGGAAATCACTGCATGGGCTCAGGAACACTGTCTGTGAAAACAGTTAGTTGCTGCATCCACAAATGCTAGTTAAAACTCTAAAACACAAAGCCGACACCATATAGAAACAGGATCCGGAAATGCTGCCACCTTCTTTGGGCCTGAGCTCATTTAAGATGGACTGCAGAGATGTGGTAAAGTGTTCTGTGGTCCGACAAATCAAAATTTGAAATTCTTTTTGGAAATCATGGACACTGTGTCCTCCTGGCTAAAGACCACTCAGCTTGTTATCTGTGCACAGTTCAAAAGCCAGTATTCATGATGGTATAGGGGTGCATTAGTGCACATGGTATGGGTGACTGGCACATCTGTGAAGGCACTATTAATGCTGAATGAAATATACATGTTTTGGCAACATCTGCTAATGCCAAATGCCAAACCACATTCTGCATGTATTACAACAGCATTGTTCCATATTAAAGAGTCCAGGTGCTAAACTGGACTGCGTGCTGTCCAGACCTGTCACCACTGAAAATATTCGGCGTATTATGAAAAGAAAAATACGACAAATGAGACCCTGAATGTTGAGCAGCTGAAATCCTATATCAAGCAAGACTGGGAAAACTCACTTTCAAAACTACAGCTGGTGGCCTCCTCAGTTCCCAAACACTTACAGAGTGTTTTTAAAAGAAGAGGTGATGAAACACAGTGGTAAACACGCCCCCAATTTTTGGAACATGTTGTTGGCATCAAATTGAAAATGGGCACATATTTTTCAAAAAAAAAAAAAAGAAAATTCTCATTTTCAACATTTGATATGTTGTCTTTGTATTTTCCTTTAAAAATATGGTTTACATGATTTGCATATCATTGCATTCTGTTTTTATTTCCATTTTGCACAGCGTCCCAACTTTTTTGGAAATGGGGTTGTATTTTACTATTCTGAATAGAAACTACATTATCTTGTGTCATTCAAGAGAAACACCACACTTCTTCACATCATTGCATTTCATTTAGTCTCTATCAGATTTACAGTGTTTATAAAAAACAAAAAACAAAAACAACAACAGAAAAAACCCTTTGGCTATTAAAAATTATCCCAAAAATTGACCATCTGTAAAGAAAGAGCAATCAGCCATAAAATGTAATGATCAGTGAATCCCTGTTTCAATAGCTGAAAAAAAAAATCTGTCTGTTTTGTGAAGTGTGAAATATGGTGTACTGTTCAGCTTCTGGCACTGTCTCTGTTTTAATGCTGCTCTGGAATGTTTGCAGAGCATTGTGCGTGTAGTGTTTCATGACCGGCGTCTGCAGTACACTGAGCGCATGCAGCTGGAGGGATGGAGGTGGAACCGGCCAGGAGACAGAATTCTTGATATCGGTGGGTCTTCTTCTCAGGCTTTTGCAGCCATGGTTTACTCTGCTGTTTCACCACAACCACTGCCAGATCTGTACCAATTTGACTGGGGTGGCAAAAGCAGGGCTCAGAGTTATTGTGGGGTGACCATGGCGTTAGACTGAAGGAATGCCAGGTGAAAACATGTAAATGCAATAGTTTGACACATAATTCAGCCAATGCCCAAAAAAATCATTGGTCCATTCCAATACTTTGGTTACGACCAGACTTATTTTTCTAGTGTTTTTTTGTTTGTTTGTTTGTTTGTTTGTTTGTTTGTTTTACATTTTAAGGATACAGCACTAAGTTAAAGTTTTATATTTCCGCCTGTGTAGTGAAAGCAGTGTTGCCCTGTAGTGGAATAAAACCTACATCTCTCTACATGTTTAATAGAAACAGCATTACTCCCATCAAAGTAGTCACCCCTTGAATCCACCCCTGTAAGGGTGGGAAAGCTCAGACGGTACAATCTAGTTGCTTGGCCTGTCAGTGACTTATGTAATAATTCCAGCAATTTTTTTGGTTTATTTAATGTTTTTTGATACTTTATGAGTGTAAAGTTCTATCCTGTACACATTTACATAAGAAATATGTACAAAATTGAAAAGATATTCATTCAACTGTAATACCAGTGTAGTATAAAAACTCATTTTGTTGATTTTGTTCAGATATTCCCCTCTCAGTGGGGATAATAGAGCCTTGTGCACACCCACTGCAACTCAACACCATTGAATTTCTCTGGAATCCTGTCAAAAATGCCTCAGTATTCATTCAGGTAGTTCTGCCACTGTTACACTGTTACTAATGATCATTTCACTGTCTTTCACTTATATTGCAACCTGTAGCGATTGACTGATGTGTTTTGCTGTGATCTACATGTGTTATTGTGTTTCTAGGTAAACTGCATCAGCACTGAGTTTACACTCAGGAAACACGGCGGAGAGAAAGGAGTTCCCTTCCGTATTCAGGTGGATACTTTCACGCAGAATGAGCATGGAGAATACCTGGAGCATGTGCACTCCTCCAGCTGCCAAATCAAAGTCTTCAAGGTAAAATCATCCACAGCAGAGGCTTTAACATAGTGTACTCTAACAGAGTTCTCTCTATCCAGATTATATTATTATATTCAGATTATATTATTAAATTAACATGTTATTCTTTAATGCTTTAGTATGCAAAGTACGATGATCTGAAATGCAGTAACATTACTAGTAGACACTGTGCTGAGACATTTTCTTAAAAATAAAACCTCTCGTTATCATCCAGCCAAAGGGAGCAGATCGCAAACTGAAGACAGACAGAGAGAAGATTGAGAAGAAGAATCTTCTAGACAGGGAAAAATATCAACCATCCTATGAAACCACTATACTCACAGAGGTAAGACAATGTTGGCAATATGGATAAAATGTTGGCAATATGGATAAAACTGATCCTATGATTAGAATCATAATATAAATATAAATACATAACATAACTATGTTCTTTTATGTGACTTCATGAAAAGCTTCATCACTAGGTTAACAAAGACAGAACTTGAATAGAGCCAAAGAGTAAACTATTATTAAAATAAGTAGGTTTTTTTCTAATAGCAGATTCACTGTATGTCCAAAACATTGTAGACACCTGCTTATCAAGCATTGAAATCAAGGGAGTTCGCCACCCAACCATTCCCAGCTTTTGCTGCATTAACAGCCTCTACTTTTCTGGGAAGGCTTTATACTAAATAGTGGAACACTGCTGTGAGGATTTGATTGCATTCAGCCACAAGAGCACTAGTGAGGTCAGGTACTGATGTTGAATGATTAGTTCTGCTTTACAGACGCCAGGTATTGGATGGTATTACATCACTCCAGAGAGCCCAGTTCCACTGCTCCTCAGCCCAGCGCTGGGCTAAAGCTCAGCATTGGACATGGTGACCTTATGTCTCATGTGGGCTGCTCAAGGGTGTCCCATTCTATTGGCCAAGCTTTTCTATAGAGATTATACAAACTGTGTGTGTACAACTGAATGTCTATGTCAATAATGGGTGCACCTTAAAATAGCTAAATTAGCTTAAAGTCACTAATTAAGAGGGTTGTCTGCATACTTTGGGATCTATAGTGGTCCTTGAGTTTGTCTGTATATGCCTGCATTTTGCCTTGGAGTTTGATCAGCTTGGTCTAAACCAAGAGTAGGGAACCACAGTCCAACACAGTTTGCTGATTTCTTTGCTTTGACACACCTACTAAAACTGGAGATTAACTGATGAGTTGAATGATGAGCTGTGCTTGAGCAGGAATCCAGCAAACCAGCACTAGAGGTCCCCATCTCTGGTCTAAAGTATACTCTCTCACCTTTGTTCTAGTTTGTCCAGACAAGCCTTAGTAATAGAGTAACTAAGGTTGCTTCTCTCACAAGAGGTGGAGGTTTTGAGTGATTGCATGTAAAGCAGAAAGTAGCCTACATATAGAATTCATTGAAGTTCAGCAGAAACCTTGTGGAGGAAGCAATTAATGTTTTTTTTCTCTTCTGCAGTGCTCTCCCTGGCCTGATAGCCCATCCATCAATGACTTGAGCAATGGTCCGTCAGCTGTGTGTCATAGCTCAACCACTTCATACGGCTTCACAGACACGTGAGTCTCCCCCATCATTAGCTATGTGCCAGTTCATGTCTTTCCTTCAGTATATTTAAACATATAAGGACTGAGGAGGAAAATTACATAAATTGTTAGAGAGTTAGCTGAAAATGTTAATTACATAACGTTTATTTAAAGCTGCACTATGTAAGTTTTGAGGATTTTGAGACCTCTCTGGTGGAAATGTGTAACTGCAAGCAAAATGTGGAAGAACTTTTTTAACATTGTACTTTGGACCTTTTCCTGAGTGGTTGAATCTAATCATCGCAAGTGCATTGAAAGAGTGTTCAAAGAGAACTCAGTCCAAACTTCTGAGCATGTAAGTGAATTATCTACTACATAACGGCTTATGACATGGTCTGAAAAACTTTAGCAGACTCAGAATTTGTTACTTCTTTTATTTTTAACAAACAAATCTTACATATTGCAGCTCTAAAATGCAATTATTACAATCCCAATATTGTATTAAAAAATTAATACAATACTCAACAAATATTTTCCTCTCAGCTGTAATACTGTATTATGATATTTGTTGGCCATCAAAAGTTTGGGGGAATTTAGCATTATAAAAATAAATTAGCACAGTTTTACAATAGGTTAATATATTAATAGAATATATTAAATAGAAGCACAAAGCTATATGTCCATAGTGTCTATAAAACTATATAAACTATAAAACTGAAGGAATAACTGACAAATGGGCTTACAAGGGAATATTGCCATACCCATATATTATATATCTTTGTTGTGATGTCAGCTGTTTAAAACCCTCTGGTTTGAAAGATTTTCAATATATACTTTTAACAGTGGTTTAAAATCATTTGAATCATTATTTACTGCTCTTTGTGCTATGGACGACACATTGATGAACAAAAGGCTGAGTTTTGCTAAAATATACCCAAAGTATTTGTAGCTGCTGATTTATGTTAAAAAAGAGCTTTTGCAGGTATTTTTGTCTTAAGACCTGATCATAACCTTTCATGAACATAATCTCAAACTTTTGATGGGAATACTTATATCAACAGTGATCAACAATCACAGCTAAGCTTTCCCTCCTTTTTACATAGATATTGCTCTCCAAACCAGCAGGGGGTGCTACTCCTGCCCAGCTGCTCTGATGTAAGTATGATGAGCTGGTCATTATGTTAATGTCATGCTTTCTTATCTTTTTAGGCATGTATTTGAAGACAGTGGCTGCTACCCTAATTACAAGGACTCTTCTTCTTTTTGCCATGTAGCCGCTTCTGCCATCTTTTTCCCCTCAGGAAACACAGGAGTGGCTCCATAGGAACAGATTTGCTCCATTCTGTAGGCTCTTCTTCAGATTCTCAGGTAGGGCTCACCAGGATTCCTCAGCAGAATGCCACAGCTTATGTTTTATGGCCTCCAAATTTCAAAGTCCAATGTAGAGACTAGATATACTTAGGAGTCTGTTGTAGGTGCTGATTTGCTGAGGATGAGTAGAGATGACTTCATTCAGATTTGTGGTCCTGCGGATGGGATCCGCCTGTTTAACAACATTAAAGGGAGGTGAGTCATCTCATGTCACCACCAGAAACTGTTGTTCAAGGGCAACAGTACAAAAGTTGTAAGATACACTCAAATACATGATTGACTAGGCCTGTGCATGGTGATGGTTAATCAAGTTACCATGGTAACAGCCCCCAATGATGGTAAAAATGCATTAATTTATTGATTTATTCCATGAAAACCATTGCAAGATGGCAGTATTTCCACACGTAAATGTATATTGTCTAAAATAGATGAGAATGTTCTAGAAATGCTGCTGGCCTGGTTAAACACGCCTGTACAAAAAGCCACCTCTATGATACGGTGTACATTCTAGGACATCCTCACACCACAGGGTTCAGATTGAAAAACGACTTGAGTCTTGGGAAAAACAGTAAAATCATGTCTCAGCTCTCATTCATCAGCTTAAATGCATAGTTTCAAATGGCCTCAGGCAAAATGGCTTCACAGAAGAAGGCTATGAGCTAAGCTAATCGACCACATACTCTACACATACATTTGCAATTTCATTCTTTATTACAAGATTAATTACAGTTGCATGGCCAAATTGAAAACGCTGATACACTACTACCACAACTTTTACAGAACTGCGCTTTATAATGTTATTTTATTTGACAAAGGGTAAGACTCTTACTTACTTGGTATCACTGTGTTTTCACTTTGCACTTCCTGTGTCCGCTACAGTGTAAGGGATCGGACAAAGTGGTAAAGCAAAGGAACCTCCCTCAACCACTCTCCCCCAGCCCAAGCCCAACCCAGTTGAACCGTTTTTTGAGTTCGGACTGTGCCCTCAGCATGTGGTAGTAGTGTGAGGGAAAACTGATTGAGGGAGGGAAGAGAACTCTTAGAACTTGGGCTAGAGTTCTGGGTGACTTCTGATAGTCACTAGAAAGCTGGACCCCCCTTGTAACTGTGGTAGGACTTTCATGGGACAGGGGGGAGATTGGGTGGTGGTGGAGATTGCAAGAACTTCATCACAGGAAACAGAAGATGAGGAAGTGAATTTTTAGGATGTTAGATTGGAAGAAGGAGGGGTTTGAGGCATGCTCCCCCTCGCAAACTTCAGTTATTCTAAAACTCCAAAACATGGTTATTTTCAACATGGTTAACTGAATAAGAGGACACTGTTACCAGCACAGGCCTATGTTTGACTGCATTTTACTACCCTGTTGTTGTTGTAGTGGTTCATCCTGCTGCTTCACATGATGGCTATGATTTTTCTCAGGTGTATACAGCCACGCCTCACCATGTACGTGACCCAACAGAAGAACAAGAATCAGCCACACAATAAGCCAGGGGGTGATGAGGGTAAAGAAAAAAGTCACTGTTGGCAAATCAATCATGAAATATTACTTAAGTTAATTATTCTGGGAATTAGCCAAAAATTATCGCGGATGACATCACTATTCATGTTCTGTTCTGATCTTGATGTCCCAAGTGTACCATGCTCTCTACCTGGAAGACTTAACCCTACTTGAGCTTACTGAGAAAATAGCCAACCTATACAGTGTTCCTGCAAGACAAATCTGCCATATCTACAAGCAAGGGCCAACAGGCATACATATCCTTGTTTCAGATGAGGTGAGTGGGCAAAGAGTTCATGACCCAAGGAACTTGACTAGTCAGGACATTGCATCCTTAAGCCAGGCTGAAACACAGTGTTAGCTGTTTCACATTTCGTCTGATGCAAGACACATTTTACTATTAGTTAATGAATTAACATTTTGGATTATGTAATATGAGGTTCAGAGAAAAAAAGACATTGTCAGCATTCCACTGCAAGGACAAATGCTCTAAAAAAATCATGCATCTTCAGTGGTTTTTATCTCTAACATGAGAGAAAATCTTGGGAATTTGCAGCTACCCAGCACTGTTTGTCTATTTATCTCTTTAGTGTGGCCCATTCATATCAAGGCATACTAATGGCTCTGAGTAAAGGTCACTGCTATAACAAAAAGACCATTGTTGCATGTTTGAGGTGCAGCCCTTTACTCTTTACTCTTATCTATGTTATTTTCATGGAGGTCATCACTAAATGTGGTCACTGATTATCAGACCCTGACTGCTCTAATCCAAGTACACAAACGTTAGCAATAATCAATATATACCTAATACAAACTGCTAGCTCTTTAGTTTGCTGATTTTATTGTTCATATTTTGCAACACTACCATACTCTGCTCACCTTTTTCAGATGGTGCAGAATTTCACTGAGGAGACTAGCTTCATAATCAGCACTCTAAAAGGTAATGAACAAACTGCTTTTGTCATGATAATGACTAATGAAGCCATTCATAACAGTATAACAATGAAGATGCAACAGCTTCAAATGCACTGGTTAAATGTTTCTTGTTATATACAAGATGTTTAAAAGAAGTTGAAAAATGTTATTACTTTCACACATAAATAAACACAACTGACTCTTGAACTACACACTCCATTGCTTTGTGTGCAATTCCTAAAATGTAGCTTTTGCTGCTGATCTGTGATTAATGAAGACTATGTCTGTTCCTCAGTGATGACAGATGAAAGTAACGAGGGGTACCATGTAGTACTGAAGTGAAGTGTGAAGTTAACAGCTACAGGAGCATTTCAGGTGGCTCTTTTTTTACAAACAGGTTTACAGTTGGGATATTTGAAAGTTCATTTATTTTGATGTCTGAAAATGTATACATTGTACATGTGTAGATGTAATTGTGGATTACAATTACATGGATTCAATGAGGGAAGACCTGGATCAAGTGTGAAATTGCACCTACCATATCACATGTAACCCTCAGCAATGACAAGATCTGTTTCATGAAAAAGACTCAATAATACACAAAATTCTATGTTAAGGTATTTTGTATAATGAGCAGAAAACAGCTGACAAAAGCTGCTATAGTATATCTGTCTCTGCAGACCCTTAATAAGATCTACTGTCTTCACCTGTCTACACTGGTCAGACTAAAGCTAAAGCTTTCTTTATAGCATTTGTTTGTTTGAAACAACTTCATGTTTTTACATATTAAGTCATTTTAATAGGGGTGTAATCACTCACAAAATTACTATTTACTGTGGTGTCTCGATACAGTAAATTTTTTGGTACAGAAATAATGAGTTCCTGTATATATCATATGCTTTCATGCGTGTGCATTAGAGGGGTAACGATGCACATGTTTTCTGTTCCTATATGATTTTAATTCTGAGTATGTAAAGATTTGCACTTCAGTGTTCATTACCACATTTATCATTTGCCATTTACATCATTTACCACATTGGACATAGCATTAGTTTGCACTGTAGCCTAACATGCTGTCATCATGAGAAAGGATCTGTTCAGAGATGTATTTTCTGTATTTGCTTTTCAACTATTTTCCAGAAAATATACAGTATACACTAAATAAATATGTAACTGTTCGTTAGACCAGTTTCTTTCATTCCCAATTCCACATTTCAAAGCTAATGAACAATGTATCCCCTGTGTGCCAAGACTATGTAGGTTTATGGTGTGAGTACAAAACTGTACAAAACAAGAGTTTTCTGAGATAACATAACAGAAAAATGTAATATTTCTCATGTTGGTGTTAAAAAGTGTCACTGAAAGGTTTTAGAGGTATTTCTAAACAACTCTGAAAATCATGTATGTCCAGATGTTAAGGATGTTATTTGCTGATATTGATTTTGATTTTATTGACTGCATATCTGAGGTGTGAGGTGACTGCATATCTCTTGTGCTATTTTGGCCACTGTGACTTTGTTGGCTTTAAATAAAGTACTTTGTGCTGTTTTTTATTTGGAAACTTATAAATAATGGATCTCTTAGTAGGCCAAAATGGGTGTTTTTTTTACATATTTGCATATGTATTAGATTACATAATGAATTTAGATTAGCAGGTTAGAGAATAGTCTTTCTTCCTGTATGGGAAACAAGACAGAACAGATCTTAGAACAAAAAAAACAGTACCTGGGGGTTTCCTTAACTACCATACTTCCAATTGTGCACTAGCTTAATAATGATTAGACGTGTATACTGATATATTAAACATGCACTTTAAAACACCATCACTGCATTCTAGTCAAACTAGATGCTGTTTAACCAGAGATTTTTTTTAGACATGCAGAGCAGCTCTGCTTTCACAAACTCTGTTACTGCACTGTCATACTCTGGATCACATGATACAGTCCCTGGCTCAGCAGCTTGTAAACAATTACAAGGAGCTCAGCCACAACATGGAAGAAGTAGGAGTGGTCAGAGAAGTTTTTGTCCCTCAAACAGGTAAAAACTTACATCTCACCCAGCATGGAGAATGAAAAAAGCTCAAGAATATATGTATGTTTGCAATCACAAACTGCTTGTGTATGAAGTAAAAAACACAAAAGCATACTGCATACAAAACATATGAAACAAACATAAAACATAACCTCACTTAAGAACCAAGTTGTTTTAACAGGCAGCTCGGCTGAAAGGTTAAGAGGCTAATCCAGCAAAATTCAGAGTTAGGATTTAAAGTAAAGTATTGTGGCGTTGGCATAGACGCAGGAGCTGCCATTATTTCTGACACAAGAAGTGTTCTTTTATTTACACCAGCAGAAAAGGTACATACATATGCCACGCCCCAAAAGCCCTTCCTGAAATGTGGAGCCTGAGGTGGACATCACAGTATTTACTGTACCATACAAGTTTTAAAAAGTTACCTACAAGTCTGTTACAAGCTTTGTTTGTAAAAACTACAGGTGTAGACATGTAATGTTAAACCCAGTGTGAAGAAAAAAAAACACCATTAGCTTGATGCTAATGTATAATAGAAAATCTAATACAATCTCACTAGCAGAAATTGACACTCACAATGAGAATTCTTATTTCTGCTAGTGAGATTTTATGGGATTTTCTAAACAGAGACTAATAATAAAGCAAAGCTTTCTGCATTAAGCACTGCTACATAATGATATGTGTTACATGTCTATGATCATTATATGATAAAGTGTAGTATATGTGATTAATATGTTAGTTTAGTACAGGCACTAGTGGTATGTTTTTTTTAATGCTAGAGCAGCATCACAGCTCTTCTTAGAAGTCTCAGTGCTCTGTGCCAGAATTGTCCACTCCTGAATGCTAATAGTCTTGTATGATACTGATACACAGTGAGCATCATTATATGGACAGTTTATTTTTATTAAATGATGTATTTAATGATTATTTTATTATAAATATTGCACATTTAAATATTGCATATTTAAAAACCACTTTTACTGCCTCTTAAACAGTAGATCACAGTTGGAGCAAAAGTTAGATGATGTTTTTTTGGTAAAGTCTGGGATTCTGTCCTATGCAGGTTCACACTTTAATGTTCCCCATATGTGCTAGATACGTTTTAGTATCAGCTCTAGATGAAATAATTAAACTCCAAAAAACAGCCCATTTAGAATTTAGTGATTTTGTGATATCACAAAAACCACCATGCATTTACGTATATATGCCTAAGCAGCCTACAGCAGTTTAGCTCCGCCCATTCACATTGACATTACAAAGACTGTTTCAGTCTGGACTGCATTTTGAATGATGGAATACAGGGCAGCCAATCAGATCATTTACATGTTGTCTCTGTCCAAACAAAAAATGAGTGTCTCCAAAATGGTAACTTTATATGAGGGTAAAAACCTTCTTAACTTGTAATGTGAGTTAATGTACAGAGATTTTATTCCAAGCAATGTTGGAGCATTTCTATTGGTCCATTCCTCATGAAACCTTCACTCAATGTAAAGGACAGCTGCTGTGTTTAAATTATGCAGAAAACTAAAAATCACAAAAAAATGAGATACTTGTTTTTTTGGACAGCGAAAACTTACATATATTAGTCTTTAGGTACAGCAGTAAAAGTAGCCTGTTCAAAAGTATAGGATGAAGACAGAGTGAAAAATTGTCATGTAAGAATGAATTTGTACAGTTTTTGGTACATAAAATTGCACATATGTTCTAATTGAGTTGAGGGGGAAATGCAACAAAAATGTAGAATATGGCCATTTTCATTTGCCATATTTACTTTCTGCATTATTAGGTGTCGTGTTGTTTTTATTTTTAAAATATGCTAATGAAACTGACATCGTGTGCAGATGTTGCACATCCTTAAAAGCCTATAAATAGAATTAAAAAAGAAAAAAAGAAAATTGCATCTTGCTTCTTGGATCTACAGCAACATTATTTAAAAACAAACTGAAGCCACCCAGCTCTTGATTAGTTTTATGACGTGCTAATCTTACCTATTTACAACCCTATAGTCCATCTTCAGTAGCTGGCTTTGTGTGCAGAGCCGAGTTCAGAGGAGACCTGTAATGCAGTTTTGAAGTGTTAGGCCTTGTGGATGGAGCGTAACAACATTCTGTTCAAAATTCTTAGGTTGTCATGAGTGAATCCTGTTGAAGGGCAGAAGTGTGTATGTGCACGTGTGTTATAATTTAACCCATTTTTCCTCCTAATTCCTCTGTAGCCATGAGGTCAGTGTTTCAGGTACAGTCATTTAGAGGTGGGTACACTAATGTAGCATCTAACATACATTTCACTTAAGTTCTTCTGTTGTTATGAAGTCAGTGTATCCATGTGCGCATGTGCATGTGGAGGAGAGTTAGTGAGGTTGAGTGAGTGATGGCTCAGTGAACGCAGGGTCTCTGGAAATACTGTGTAACTGTACAAATGAGGACAGCTGAGCTTAATAATGCCACCCTGTTCTCAGTCCCTTTACTGATTAGTCTCTAGGCTCTAATGCTCCACATGTCCACTCAGCAGTGTTGGGCAGAATACTTTAAAAACAGTAGTGATGGCTGAATACTGAACACACTGTCCTAAATGTATACAGTAACATTACAATTTATAAAAACATAACATATTACAATACATTTAGAATACACATTGACGCACATGGGAAAAACCCTACTGTTGTGATTTGTATTTAATTCATGCTGTTCCTAACTGTTACTAATTGGCAGTTTTCTTCATGTAATTCTTCTGTTAATATGTTTCATGAAAAAATCACTTATTTCAAAAAATACACAATTCTAAACATTATTTTGGCTCTCATTGCCTGCTTCAGTCCACTTCTGCTGCTATAATCCCACAGCTGCCTCACGATGCGAACAATTCGCCATATCTCAATAACAACAATGGGAAGCAATGTTATTTTTAGTTAAGCATGTATGTAACTAGCCACAAAATATATACACGGGTACAACACTGATGCTGAGCTTATCGCTTGTGAACATGTCCACTACTGAGTGATGTTCAATCAAAGGAAGAGGGAGATTAGTAACTGGTTCATCACATTGATTTATCAGTCTACTCAGGCTTTAGCAGGAACTTCAGTATCTGTAAAGAAGTTGTTTCTTGAGAGTATGTCTTTACACACCATGTGCTGATTTTATTAGTATTGATGGTGTTTGTTTTAAAGATGGTATACATATTGTATAGTTAGTGGGCAAGTATTCTAAAAGTGGTCTCCTAAAAATTTAAAAAGTAACTGTATTCTGAACACGGCCTGTACAAAAACTGGTTCTGAACACAGATACTTAATTTCTGTATTGTGAATACTTATTCTGAATACCTGTATTCTGTTTCACTTACATACACAAACATCTGCTCTAGTCAGAGGATTTATAGAGAGGAGAACTGCTTCTCAGTAACGTCTCCTGGTTTGTCAAACACTAGAGGGTGCTCTAGAGTGAGTCCAAAATGATTTAAGATGAAGCTTTTGAACAAAATTATAGTTTGTAAATGCATAAACACTTTTACACAGAAGAATGCATTCATTTCCTGAACTCAGAAAAGCATAACACATTTTACCACTGCTGTTATTTTGAGCGCTTTTAAACTCCAGTTATAGGACTTTATAACAGCACCTCATGTACGTTCATGACATCAGTGAACACGAACTACTTCACTTAGCCAGTGAGCTGCTCCGTCCACCAACCAATCAACAATAAGTAGCAGTAATACCAACCAATCAGCATGTAGTAGCAGTAATGCTGGTGACACTTTATTTTGAGTGGTCCTTCTTATATGAAACAAACACTTAGCTAACGGGCTCTCAATAACATCAAAAAAGTATGCAGGTCAGGATTAAGTTTTGGGATGAGGTTAAGTTTAGGGTTAGGATTAGGGCCAGGGTTAGGGTTAGGGTTAGGTTTTGTTGGGTATGGTTAGATTTTGCATAATGGAAGTAACATGAACAATACATCTACTTAATGTAAATAATGTATCAACAATACATTTTCAAGATATTTACCTCAGTGTATTCAGATGCTTCACTACTGCTACTTTACTGATATGCTGTCGATGTGTTACTGATAATCTGTTAAGAGTTAATGCAAACCAACCAGCACTCAGAAGCAGTAATGCCAACTTAATCAGTACTCAGCAGCAGTAATGCTGGCGTCCTGCTGCCCAAAACCCGTTTGCTGTGGAAAAAAGGAAACATCCAAGTTAGTTTTCTTCTACGGGTGCACCTTAATTTTTTTTTTTTAAAGATTGAGATATAAAAAAAAAGGTAATTTGGAGTGATTTGATGTGAAATGCTCTGCCCCAGAGAAACTTACCAAGTCAGACAGAGCAGTTCACAGTAGAGGTGATAGGAACCAGACATCTGACAGGACTACTAGAAAGAAATCAGAGTCTGTAAGTTTCTCTACAATAAACCATTTCACACCAATCCACTCTGAATGACTCTGTTTACATTTCAAGGACTGAATTATTCAGAAACTTTGAAAATATGTGGAATTCCCCTTTAAACCGGCTCTGCTCTGGTTTTGTAGACTCCTGTCAGTCTCCCTGGTCTTCCTGCTCGCGGCCGGAGATCATGGAAAGCGCGACATCTGCTGGCCAGAACTGAGAAGAATAACCGCAGGGGACTGTTGGAGGGTTGAACACATCTTTCCTCCAGCAGTGTTTCTGATTCTGTCTTTTAGGGTATGTAAATATAAGAAAGAATAAATATTTCTAGACTAAAATACTAAATAAATGCTATTTTTCCAACCTTATAACCTTTTACTACCTTATTACTTTTTAAAATATGATTACTTTTTAATCCTTAATTAGAAAGTAAGGACCGTTTATGTTTGTAAACCTGAGAGAAACGTACAAGTAAGTCTATGTGGAGTATGTAATTGATTTGCACAGTTAGCTAAGCTAATTTAACGAGTTTCACGATGTGCTTGAGCTTGTGTATACCGAACGCCCACGACCTGATTTAGGGATATTTTAATATATATTTTTAATTTTAATTTAGTGATAGGCAGCAGCTTTTCTAATGACATACAACCTTCTTTTTCAAAAGTGAATTTTTCCAGAAAAAATGTCCTTTAATGAGACCAGTAGAGATGTGGGCGGCTCGTTCACCCTCAGCCTGAGCTGCTCTCCATCTCTTCAGGAAGACAGCGGAGTGGTTTCGTTTCTGCTCTGCTGAGGAGAATCGAAAGTTATCTCGCTGTCATCTGCACTACCTGCATTGTCTGCGTATCTTCGTTTATCTGTTTACACCCTGCTCCACAGCTCTAACAGTACCGGCCCTGTCAGGCATTTATTGCGATGTCAAATCAGAAAGTTCTTCCGTGTTGTCGTTAGAATAGAAGGGAAGTGAAGATTTTCCTCTGTTGGCCGAGAGCTCTGCTTTCTGTGGTTTCGTAAAGTGCATCGGTAAGTAGCTACATGTCTTCTTCTCAGGCTAGCATAATTCTGTCTGGTAGATAGCATAATGCAGAAATGACGTATAGCCTTTGATGTATGGATGGTTGGTTGGATGGCGTTATCAGCTGTAGAAGACAATGCAGTGTGTTTTGATTAGTCTAGCCTGCGCTTCAAGACCTTCAGATCTTATCTGGCTTCATATTCCGTTTCATTCTGTTCCCAAACACTTAAATATAAAGTGGTGAAAGTGTCGATTGTAAAAATGGCCTGAATCCTTATCCTTTTTCCATTTTTAAGAATCACGTGACCTCTGAGTTAGCTGCAAGTTTACTTTTTAAGGGGAATTTTCAAAATGAAACTCTTTTCCCAGATAAGACAGCTGTATTACTGATATACCAGCTTTATCATAATATCACATTTTCATATACATTGCATAGGCAGTGGTAACTTTTATATGAAAAGTTACTTATTTACAATTACTGTCATTTTCAGTTGTGCTGTTTATAAGGCTTCACCTCTCATCATGACACTGAGGAAGTGGTTTTCATTCCTGCCATCAATATGGTGAATTGGCAGCTATTCAAATTGAGACACCTCTCTTGAAACAAGACCGTGCCTGTTTCCTGCTGAAGTGGACAATAATACTTCACTCAAAGCGGTGAGTAGATGTCTCATTACCTTCTGCTAACTTATTAAAGAAATGCATTGTATGTTTTAATATGTTTGACCTTCTTTTCACTCAGGCTTGGGGAAGTGTCCACTGCTTGTGTCTAGAATGGCTGACAGAGGGATTTTGGAGGTACTGTGTTTTATACATGGATAGTTCAATTTTAAATGTCAGTCAGTTGTGTAAGTGTGCTTCCTGTGAGACAGTGTGTCTTTATTCCTTGCCCTACTATGTTAATTGGTTTGTTATCTGCACAGGTAGGCATAACATATAACCTTGTTTGGTCAGCCATAACTTTGTAACAACTCTGAATTCCTAGAATATTTTACCATGACTGTGAAGAGGTCATTACTTTCAATCTTCCTACAGTAATGCAGATGTGAGGTCATTGTAATATTGTGTACAATATTAAGTAAAAGCAAGCATGAAGCATTGTGTATGGTGATGGTGATGGACTGAATTATTTTATCTGCTGTCAAGGGATTTAACATGAAGTGAGTTGAGAATTGAATTAATTGATTAGTTAGGTCTCAGTTTCTATTTATATGAATTGTTCATCCCGTGTTCTTTGTCTTTCATGAGAAATAAACTTTGGCATAGTCATTACTTATAGGCTTAACCTAAGGTGTATTATGACAATCAGCCCCGATGCTGTATTACAACCAATCCACCCATCCATCATGCCATTAAATAACAACTTAATATACTGCTCATTTTGTGCAGGACACCCTGAGTTATGCCAGAGCATTAAACTGACAACTGTTCATCATATCATCATATTTTCATCCATGTGTGTTGAATGTAACATAGCTTTTGGTTATCTTTTAGGATAATGGAAGCGAAGTGTCACATTCAACTGAACTTCCTGCAGAGATTAAGGACTGGGATAAAAACCATGTGAGAGACTGGATTCTCAGGTTAACAGATGTGGATGATGAATATGCAAAGATTTTGTATAATCAGAAGATTAGTGGATCTAGTCTTTTATTACTGGAGAAGGCTGACCTTATAGACTTGAACATCGAGCTGGGTCCAGCAAAACTGATCATTCACAGGAGAGATGAACTCATTAAACTAAAAGCTCAACAGTCAGTCAGCCCTGGAAACCAGTCTAGTAAATCATGCAAGCCCTACCCTTTCAGTCAGTATCATGCTGCCTACAGATATCAGGAAAACAGCATACTTGATGTAACAGAATCAGGTGCTCTGAACCTCATAGAACCATGTCATGAGTACAAAGCATTTATCAACTTTGAAAATGTGACAACAGAGGAAAAGCTGAAGAAGTTCACAGAAGAGGTTATCAGATTTGCTGCTGCCTGCATGAACAGCCGAACTAATGGCACTATTCATTTTGGAGTTGGAGACAGACCAGAATTCACTCATGGGCAAATTCTGGGTACTAAAATTGAAGACAAAGAAACATTTGATCAGAAACTAGCAGATGTGATCGAGGGTAGGTTTGAATATAAGCACATTGATGTGGTCAAAAAATGTATTAAACCCCCCAGGTTTGTTGAGGTTCTTGAAGCTGATATGACAGGCTCAGGAAAATATGTCATAGAGGTGGACATAGAGCCGTCTTCCTTGCTTTGTGAAGACAACTTCTTTCACATTTATAGTGTAGACACAAGAAAATCTAAAAAACGATTTAAAACCAGAGACCTTAAGACTGATGAGAAGGACAGTGCAAAGTTATTTTACATTCGAGATAACAGCAGCAGCAGGAACCTTCTTGCCCAAGCCTCGTCCACCAAGTCCTTGGAGGAGTACAACAAATATGTTGATAATATAGTGCGCTTGTCCCAACTGAGGAAGGAAGCTGAGGAAAAGCACCTCACTGTGGTTAAAAACAGCGTGCAGGGTTCTAGGCTCTGTGAAATGATAACAGGAGGCTCGCGTTCTTTGGACAAATCTCACTTTGAGCGATATGTATTAGTCACCAACAAATCTCATCCAGTTCAGAAAGAATACCTTGCTTTCCTTTTAGACATGAACTTGACAGCTGTTTTGGACTTTGATCCAGAATCTGCTGAGACTGGCTTGAATAATCTATTTGATGAGAAAAGAAACGTTAATGTTCATTTGCCAGTGCAGTATAAAATCACAGAGCCAGTGGAGGAAATTGCGAGTAAGCTAAAGCTGACCAGAACCACAAGCTGGGTTTTCTGTAACGGAGGAATAAAGGAAGAAAAACCCTCTGACGTGAATAATTGGCTGTTAGAGAAAGGTTCCTCCATTCGTGATGTAGTGTCCTTTCTTTGCCGAAAAGACGTGTTACCTCAGAAGAAATTCCTCATCATGTTTCTGCTGTTGAGTGACGTCACTGACAAACATGATCCGATGCTTGAGACCTTCAGTATGTTTTACCAGGAGCTGAAAGGTACAGAGCAAATCTTATGCATTTGTGGAAATGGAAGCTCGTACACTTACTGGAAGGAACTCATTGAGGCACGGTATGGTGTCAGCATTTCTAGAAGATGCATCTATGAGCTCAGTTTTGCTGAAATTAATGGCACGGTCCTCAGTCTGTGGTCAGAAAATCGCAAATCAAGCCGATTCCTGCCTGGTGGTGGCGGTAAAGTTCTCTTACCAAAGAAGGTGGAGGACAGCCTGGATAGACTGAGTATTCTATGTGTAAACCAGTGTGAAGGAGGAAATGAGGACAAGATGGAACAAGAGGAAAGATTTTACAAGGGAGGCAAGGTGTCCTGGTGGAACTTCTACTTCTCAGAGCAGCCAGGATCAATGCCTTTTATCAAACGAGACAATTTTGACTACATCATTGATACCATTATTCCAGACATGTGCTCCCTCACACAAGCTTGTGTTCGCTTCAACATACTCCATATTCCAGGTTGTGGAGGAACTACTCTAGCCATGCATGTCTTGTGGACCCTGAAAGAGAAATTTCGATGTGCCGTACTGAAGGGCAAAACAGCTGATTACGACGATGTGGCCCGGCAGGTAGTTACCTTGTTGACATGTGAGACGACTGACCAGCAAACTCGGGTTCCTGTTTTACTTATGCTTGATGACTTTGATGAAACTGATGCTGTAAATGATCTCCAGCAACACATTGAAAAAGAATGTCTGAAGAAAAACGGTTCTTCCAGGTCTCCCCAAATCGTCCTTCTGAATTGCATGAGGGCTGAATCACAAGCGCAGACTGAAGCAACAGATGACACGGTTTTCATTGGTAACCAACTATCTGGGAAGGAACAAAAATTATTTGAGAAAAAGCTAGAGGAAATTGAAAAGATCTACAAGAATGCTGAAACATTCTATGGTTTCATGATCCTGAAGAAAGATTTTTCGACAGAGTACATACAGGGCATTGTGAAAAATACCCTGAAAGGCTTCAACTTCAAACATAAACATGCTCAGCTCATCGCAGTCCTGGTGCTCTTGGATTGCTACTGCAAGAATGCAAATTTATCAGTCTCTGTGTGTGAAGAATTTCTTGGTTTGGCAACAAGGCCAGATTTTGAATCATGCAAAGCAGAAGATGGATTCAGGAAGTTTTCCACACTTTTGACACGGTGCACTGAAGAATCCAGTGTAGTCTATGAAGCTGTGCGAGTAATCCACTCAAGCATAGCAAAACGTTGTTTGGAAGAGCTTACAACCACTTTCAATGTGTCCAAAGCACAGATTACTGACTTCCTGCTTACAACAGACTTGTTTTACGATTGCATTCAGGGAAAGGAAAAACTAATGCAAGATGTTCACAGTACGCTGGTGAAGAGGAATTACTCAGCTGAGAGTCTTTCAGCAGAATGCCAGTTTTCACCACTTGTCCAAGCGATTACAAAGGAGACGCCTGGCTTCGAGGAGAACGTTTTGCTCAATGCGGCAAAGCGCTTCGAAAAGGATGCAGTAATATCCCAGCTTCTTTCTAGGTACCATTACCTGAGGAAGAAAGCCTTTAGAGAGGCAAAGGACTGGGCGAAGAAGGCAAGAGATCTCCAAAGGGATAACTCTTACATTTGTGATACATCTGCACAAGTCATTAAGCATGAACTGAAAGATGCTATCAGCAATGACAAAGATGATCCTATAAAACCAGAAAAAATGAAAGAGTATCTCAAAATGGCTGTCTCTGCAATCGAGGCTTTCAGGGAAACCCAGGAAATTGCCAGAAAAGAAGTCGTTGTTCGCTACAAAGGGAAAAAAGATTTTAGCCCTTACAATACTGCTGGTCGCCTTGGTGAGCTTCAAATTGCCGTTATAGTGACTGACATACTGGAGAGGATCCCAGTTTTTTCGTTAGATGAGCTTCGACGCAACATTCTCACTCAAGTTCTCTCAGGGAAGACGAAAATAGTAGATGTGGCAAAAAATGATCCCAAGAAACAAAAGCATGCATCATATTACCATTTTTTGCAGGACTTTGCAGAGCTTCTTCACAACCTCAAAGACAACATGAAGAAGCAGTTTGATTTTCTTGACAATTACTACGTCAACTTGGGCTCATTTTATTCCCAGAAAGATATTCGAGAGTTGAGAACACGACAGGAAGTCCTCAGGTGCTTTCGACAATACGCTAAAGTGTTTTGCAAGTCAGATTCAAAGGAACTGATGAAAAACAGGATGTTGATGAGCATGCTCAAGATTGAAAAGGCCCATCAGTATCTGGAGAAGAACAAGGCTGATTCTTACAGTGGACTGTTGGACTGTCTTTCTAATGAAGCTTCTGCTGCAAACATTGAACAAATTGTCGAGCGGTATATTTTTTTATTTGAGAACACCAGGCCACAAGATGATGGGCACTTCAAGGACACTGTCAACTTCATCTATGCAAGTATTGTTCTCAGTCGGGTTAGGCCTGAATCTAAGCTCCTCTGGGCCTACATGAAGCTTCTTAATTTACTTTGTGACACACTTAAACGCCCCACCCCCCTCAGTGAAAGCCTGCCGTTGCATTTCATTTCAGTTGTGATGCTGTGGCCAGAGACCATCGATATCTTTTCGGGTAGGAATTTGAGTGACAAGCTGGAAAGTTACATATCACAGATGAGAAATTCTTTTTCCAATGAGATGAAACCAGTGTGCATTGGCAAGAGAGCAGTTGTTCATTTTTACTTGGGCAAGAAGACCGGTTACGAACGCCTGATCACCCAAAAAGACATTCACAAATGTGTGGGATCCGAGCAGAGCATGACAACTCAGTTGCAAAATGGAAAGATATGGAAGCATGAGAAAGTCAGAAATACCCTCCGCAAAGTCACTGGAAGAATTTGTAAGAATGCCATTCTGGCAGACACACCAAATGAAAAATTGAAAGTTCAAGTTTATCCAATGTTCAGAAGTCAGTTGAGTGGAGAATTGGGTGCCAAAGTGTCATTTTTTGTTGGATTCACCATGAATGGTCCAGTTGCTCTTGGCATACAGCCAGAGTCATAACGTTTCAATTCACAATTTCAGCCTTTTAACAGTTTACACAATATATCAACATATCCATTTCACTGAATTTGTGGACCAAAGACTGAAACGGAAAGCCATGGTTGTATAACTACCATTTTGTAGTAACATTACAAATTATTTAAAACTTTTTTTGTACATGCCTTTTGTTTATGTATCATTTACTGGAATACATTTTTAGCAGCCGCATATCATCTTGTTAATATTATAATTTTTTAATCTGTACTTGTTTGCTTAGCATTAATTAGTTTGCCATTCAATATTCCTTGATATGGAAATTTTTAATATTGCAATAATGTTACATACAAAAAATAACAAGAACAATTTTTTTACTTACTGTATATTTTGTACTTTTCTCTAAATTTGTGATTTTTTCCCAGCACTTTCTTTTCCATCTGAGACTGTAATGATGAAACTCATTTAATTTTGGCCAACATGCCATTCAAAATATTGTTTTTTTTATTATTTTGAAGCATATTTTAAATGAAAGCACTTGGTGAAATAGAAATATTTTTTTCTACATAGATGTTTGAATGCACTGTTTTTAAACTGGATTTCGTTTTTGGATTTTTGGATGCACACTTTACATTATGAACTTTTGTTACCACTTATCTGTCGGTGATTATGGTTTACTTCTAACTTTTATTAAAGGTTATTTGATTAAAGATGGTATGTGCCGTTGTCATAGTTTATAGAGTATCTCAGGGCAGGAGCATGGCAGAAAAATTATGTTCATGTCATCACTGTCAAAACATATACGTCCATTTTACTTGTTTTTAATTTGTTACATTGTGTGAAAGTTTTATGACTGGACCAATAGAAAGGCTCTAAAACACTTGGAATAAAACCACTTTACAATAATGTTCTTTAAAAGTCAGGAATATTTTTGCCTTCGCCTGTAAAATTACTAATTTGGAGATCTTTTTTTTGGACAACAACGATATGCAGCACTGGTTAAATTTTCTGTTGAGTCTATTCTGTGATAGCTGAAATGGAAATATTACTTATGTATTATTTATACAAAAAACAACAATTAACATAAAATATATTCCTTGTTTTGATGTACTTATATTCTAGACTCAGAACATGCATATTGCTGTTGCTATGAAAATTTTAATATAAAGGCCACATATGTGGCATCTTGATGACCCTTGAATTTGTGCGATATTGAAACAAAATTTCAATGTTAAATTACAGTTTGTTGATTTAAAGTGAAAATAATAACACATTTCACATTTTTATGCACAATTACTGTTTGTTTACTGAATTTTTACATATTGTGAAAGAAATTGTGCACTAAAATTTATTTCACTAAGAAAATCAGCAAAATGTAATTTTACCAGGGGTATTAAAACGTTTACATACAACTGTTAATAATATGTTAATGGAGTGTTTCTAGACAAATGTGTTGGTTCCTACACTGTCCAGAAATGACCTCACTAATGTTCTTGTGGCTGAATGCAGTCAAATCCTCACAGCAATGTTCCAACATGTAGTGTAAAATTTTCCCTGAAGAATTGCTACAGCAAAGAGGGACAAACTGCCTAATAACACCCTTAATTTCAGAGGAAACCTTATATGAGTAGGTGTCTACAACACTTTAGACATATAATGTGTATTGTGTAAAATCAACTGAGCAAAACAGGAAAAAATATGTTCAGTTTTATTTCTATCATATCTTAAGAGAAAAAAATGTCTTTTTTTCTTCCAAAAATCATAAATAAGGTGTGTCTGTTTCTCTGGATACTGGAAAATTGGCTAAGTGTGTACTTTCCTCTGTTCCACCACTAGAGTGTGATCAAGGTCTTTTCTGACTCAAAAGTGTGTACTGCAAAGTGAACTCAGTTTATTTTTTAACCTCCATGTTTTACCTATTTACAGTCTCAATGTCTATGTATTTCAATGCTTGAGATGTAAACAAAGTCATTCAGAGTGTTTTGACGTGAAATGGTTCACTGCAGAGAGGCTTACTGACTCAGATTTCTTTGCAGTGGTGGTGATAGAATCACAATGTCTACAACACAAATATAGCCATTCTATTTACTATCCAAAACCACCAGTGAACCTACATGTGTCTTCTGAGTTTGATGTTGTATGTTGATAACGGTGAACTACTGGTAAATCTAATGGAAAAAAATCTGTTTTTTTTTGGGTGCTATTTCACCTTACAGCACCCTGCATTTCCTCTCCACCATAAATGTATAATAAAACAGCTTTTAAACCTTTTCAGAACACCCTTTCTGTGAGGGAGCTTTTAGAGGCATTAAACTCTTCTTCTGGTTCCTATCACCACCACTGTGAACAATTCTGACTCTTCTCTGGAATGGAGCATTTCACATCAAACCACTCAGAATTACTTTGTTTACATCATAACCATTTAATCATGCACAAGTTTTGACATCTGCAATGTCAGTGGGTTTATTAAAAGAAGGTTTTTTTTTTCTTTCTGTTTATAATATTATAATAACATTATATAATAATATAAGAAGCTAGTTATTGCTAGTTATCTGCAATTTTCTGCCTTAGAATTTCTAGGTAATCAGATTGCTATACAATAACTGGTCAGATCTAACACAGCTCGGTTAGCTGTTTGAGACAGCAAAAGTAAGAATGGCGTCACTGCTGCGATGCAATTTCCTTATTAAAGCAGAGTAAATGAAAAGATGCACTATGTAGGCTTAAAATCCTAAAACATTAAAGGGTGCCCTATTGAACCCCCTCCTCTTCCTGGCTTTCAACCTGTTTATGAATTCTAACCTTTGTCTATGGGCTGGTGCACAATGCGCAGATTGTGATTGTGTTTTAACTGAAATGAGAAAATAAAAGATGGTTTCCTCTGAGTGAGGTAGATTTATGGAGCCTGTCCTGCCTGCTGGCCCCATGATCCCTCTGATCTGCTTTTACTTCCTCACCACTGTGACCCTTGGGGTCATTAGAAACCCCGAAATGGCCAGATTGGCCAGCAGCCGACCCAGTGCTGCTTTGTTTTTCAATGAAATTACTATATTTAACACAAGCAGAAACCGGCCAAGTCCAGTACACATCTGCTTGAAATTGTTATCTCCTATTATGTTATTTTCAGGCTTTTATTTTCATGATATTTCTGTTGTCTGTGCATCTCTTTGTGAAATAATGATGGGTCATTTTGTGGATCATTCAGTATTATAGAATTAATGCAACAACTGAGACCAGTAAAAAGAATGTATTTGAAAAAACGTGCCACATTTGTTTTGTTCTATTCGCTGTTCATTTGCTTTGACACTTTTGACATACTATCTGAGGATAAAGCGAGATGTCCGGTCAGCAGCTTTGTGATACAAGAGCCACCGAAGGGCCTTAACAATCAGAGACTCCCACTGAACACATAAGCTTTAACTCATTAAGTTCTGTATCTGAAATTTTACATTTACTTTGGTTGATATCATCGCTGTTAAAGGAAAACATGCATCTCCAAAACTTTACAAGAGAAGGAACAAAGGTTCTGAACTTTTACTGCCGTTTTTGTAAAAAGGTTTATTCCAAGTAAATCTGGAGCTTTCTTTTGGTCATTCATTATGAAATGTTCATGTAATATAAAGGACAGCTGGTATGTTCAAATGATGCAGAGAAATAAAACTGGCAATAAATGGAGCAACTTTTTTTGGACAGGGACGATGTCTTCTTTGAGCTTCCCTGAGCACAAATCTGAAGATGGTTTTTAATTGTTTGTCACTACATTGATGAGATTAAGTGTAGTATTAATCACACAGCACTACTGATTTCTAAGAAAACCATAGAAAATCCAAAGTTGATTGTGAATAAAAGCATGAACTTGCTTATAAAATGAGCACTGTAAGACATTAATTCAAGGTAGAGCTATATAACATTTCATCACTTTAGACCAAACAAGCTTTGGGTCTTTTCATCACACTAAGTTTAGCTGTTATACATAAATAGGTTAACTAACACATGAGCAGCTCTGACTATATATTCATTACAACTATTAACTTTAAATACTGACTGAATGCCACTTAATATGACTGTTGTGATGTTCTGAAATGTTTATATTTTGTTATAAACATTTGAGAAATACGGGAGTAATATGTTCATTTTCTTTTTAGATCTAGGCATTCTTCACATTCTTCTGCCCCTCTGCTGGATCACATTTGAAGGGAGATTCCCATTACATCTAACTCCCTTTTTATATTTTTTTCAAAGCTTTCTCCTTCCTTTGGTGCTTCAGCTCAAGAGAATATCAAGCCCCCTCGAGACTTTGTTCAAACACTATGCTATCCAAGATCCCAACCCTCTAATGAACATACTTCCCCCCCGTCAGCTCATGGATTAGGCCCATTGTGAATAGAGAGGAAGAAGTTGGCTTTGAGATAATGGAAATCAGATGGACCAAGTAGTAATGGTCAGAAAATGAGAGAAAAATCTTTCACTGCAGCGATTCTGTTTTAGATGGGATATCTAAGGCATTCTCCCAGATGTAGGTGGTATGTTGAACTTAATGTATGTAGCCCATGCTGGGAATTCAGTGCACAACTGGCTGGGGTGAACTCTGAAATTCCTCAAACATCAGCGGAAAGCGAACACCATCAATCATTTTTACTTTTAGTTGCACATGTATAGCCAAAGTAAACTAATTGGGATCAGAATCTAAATCCCCAAACTGCATATCTAATCCTTGCCTCCCACTTTGCACGCTGGCATGATGTTCCCACAGACAAGTGGATCTTGTGGAATAAGTAGAAATGAGGCTGTTTAGGCCCCTTGTTTCCATGCCCTGGCTTTCTCAAGAGATACTGTACATCATGAAGGGCAGGAGGCTTTGCCACCTGAAATAAAGTGATCTGACACATTCGGATTCTAAAAACCAGTGTAGCTGTGTATTATGTGTGTAATGGACTGAGATGATCTAGTGTCTGTAGTTGGTCTTCTTCTGGTCACATTTTAAAATGCAGCATTCTTGATATTGCCTGAGTTCATTATAGTTCATTTACTATTTTCATTTTGACATTTTCATCTCACCTTATTTAAAATCAGAAAGGTGGCGACAAAAAAATCAAGAAAAAACCTGAGTAAATGGGTGGAGAAACAGAGCGATTAGATGTTAATTGTACAATTATAATCTAACCGTGCTCTGTTGCATTTATATTGCTGTCAGAACAAAACCTTTTATCTCCATGTGTTTTACAGGGTTTTTTAGAGAATTTGAAAATCTCAGCTGATGTTTACACTTTGTTAAAATTTCCAACAGAGATTGGAAAAATATAAACAATAGAAAAAGAACAACCAATAGAAAGGCACCAAAATTACTTGGAAAAATGATGTTGTTCCACTAACCTCTATTCTGAGTTAAGAATGTATTTCTCCTTCTCCTGTAAAGTTACCATTTTGGATATATGAGTTTTTGTCATGAAAATAAAAATGTTGAGCA